AGTGATATATACAGAATAAAAAATTTTTTTTTATTATTAATAACAAAGAAAAAAAGGTTAAAAAAGTAAAATAATAAATACAAGAAGCCTGTTTGGATATTAAGTTACTTTTAAGAAATGATAACTAGCTAAATGTTCATTTAGAGGAACATTTAAAATATTCTTTGATTATTGTTAACTACTGTTGATGCTTAACTGTTTTACATTACGGCATTATCCATAATCCAATTAGCTACACTTTTCGATGTGGTAAACAAAACAAAATTTTTGAAGTAAGTAACACTATTTCAGTGAGTCTATATACTCCAAAATGTCATGTTGAATTCAAAGTGCTACTTGTGAAATTTACTCGTCATTTCAGAGCGAAAATTGTATTAAAATAAATCCTACACAAAATTGCCTTAAAGGAGTAGTTCACTTTTAAAAAAAAAACTTTTGCTGATAATTTACTCACCCCCATGTCATCCAAGATGTCCACGTCTTTCTTTCTTCAGTCGAAAAAAAATTAAGGTTTTTGATGAAAACATTCCAGGATTTTCTCCATATAATGGACTTCAATGGGGTCCAAACGGTTCAAGGTCCAAATGAGAGTTTCAGTGCAGCTTCAAAGGGCTTTAAACGACACCCAGACGATGAATAAGGGTCTTATCAAGCGAAACGAGCGGTCATTTCAAAAATAAATAAAAAAGTTTAAGTTTTATAAGCACAAATGCTCGCCTCTTTTTTCGTGTCATTTGGTTCATTCAACAAACGAAACGAACGAGTCATGACTCGAAGGGTCCTAGATAAGACCCTTATTCATCGTCTGGTGTCGTTTAAAGCCTTTTGAAGCTGCACTGAAACTCTCATTTGGACCTTGAACTGTTTGGTTCCCAATGAAGTCCATTATACTGAGAAAATCCTGGAATGTTTTCATCAAAAACCTTAATTTCTTGTCAACTGAAGAAAGAAAGACATGGACATCTTGGATGACATGGGGGTGAGTAAATTATCAGCAAAAGTTTTTTTTTAAAGTGAACTACTCCTTTAAAAGTGTTCAGTGTTTGATTCAATTAGGGATGGGACGGTATGGAAATTTCATATCACGATTATAGTGTCCAAAATAATCGTGATTATCAATATTATCACGGTTTTGTTAAAAAATTATGAAAGTGCTCAAAAAGAACTCACACTGAAAACATTTCAACAAGTTTTATAATTAAAAATCAACAAACAACAAATAAAACAAGCCTCTCTATGCAGTTTTTTTAAGCAAGATTCTATTCTATGGCATTTGCTTTTTTATAATGCCCGTCGTCAATAGCAACACATTATTACACAGCGCACATCCATATCACAACGGACGCGCGCTCTTGTTTCATTCAAATACAACTTGCCGTCTTTGCGTCTCCGGTTTTTGATTGTATTGCAAAAATGAAATCAGAGTTGATTTATTGCTTACAGAGTTTGATAATATTGGTGTGATATATCTTGTCTGGACGATTGTTTTACAAAATGAATTCATAAATAGGTAAGATTTAAAACATTAGCTAATCTCATTATCAATTCAATATGTCCCCGTAATTATGTGGTAAAAATAAAATCGGTTTAATATGTGATGTATCTATACTTTACTATCCCTTAAAATATCACTATTAATAATAGTCTTGTTTGAAGTTATTCGTTCGTCTTTAGCTCAAATCCACTTGCTACGAACTTTTCTTCGCGGAAGCTTCACATCTATTTCAAGTGAGTGACATAAAATGTTTCAACTCAAAACAACATTTCATGCCCAATTGATTCCCAGACGTAGTTTTGGTATTAAGGTCAAAGTTAACTTGCCTTGCGTTCGGGTGATGATCACACAAGACGACTCTGCAGATTTGAAGTGTTTCTATTGCAGTGACTTTTTGTTCGGCAGACAGGGTGACCATCCTCGATCAAGTTTCCTTCAGGACTTTTGTAAAACCCAAAATATGACCACACCTCAGATTTGGTCCTTTTAAAAGGCTAAAAAATCTCCTGAGCATGGTCACTGCCTTCCACCATTCCTTCTCGAAGAGTAATTTAAAAAAATATTGCGTGCTGCGCGCCTGCGTCAGACTGGCCGACAGGATTCAGTGAGTGATTAAAATCGCGATAATCAAACACGGTTTTAATGATAATTAAATTTTAAATGATAATACTAACCGTCAGTACATTTTATCACGGTTTATCGTGAAACCGGTTATCGTCCCATCCCTAGATTCAATGCACTAAATCTTAAAAGATTCAGTGAAATTATGGTTGAAAAATCACCCTTTTTAAGTCATGTAAAAGTGAATAGATATTGACAGTGACAGACAGCACCGGCGGCTCCCAGACTATTTTATCATCACCACCCAAAAAAACCTTCACTATAGCAGACAGTCTGTGTCACCCTCATCCACAATACCAGTGCAAGTCAAACTGCAGTCACCAAAGAAACCACCCACAGTGTGTCATCGGCTTATAGCGATCGGAGGAGAGAAAGGGGCTATTGTTAAAAACTCTCAGAATGAGATGAAGAGCAGAGGACGTAACTCTTCCCCTGCTTTGGCACTGCCATCAAACCAACAGCGACAATCAAAACTCAATACAGCGCTCTGTGGCACAACCGCACAAACCACTGGGAAAGGCCAGAGATTTCAATCATTAAGCGCTGAAGCAATCGTGACATCATGTTCGCAAACGATTCGAAAAAACGGTTTATGCATCCTGTGCGGGGAAAACGACATCATTTTGTCCTGTACCCACCCACCTGTAGCATTACCTCGAAATGAGACGCAAGCGGGGCTTCCCCTCGGCAGTGGCCCTTTTCACGTTGGCAACAGGAAACATCTGGTATAATTAAACACCTCGAGCCATGCCATATTAAGCATCAAACCCAATAAAAACGCACAGGTTAGGTCTCTTCACGGTCACTGGACACTTCGTTCCCACCAGGAACGATGCACAGACTCACAGGGACACAAGCATGCATCTTTTTAGGCTGCCAATTGTGTTGCAAAAAACATTATTTTTATACAATCTTGAAAAAGCATGATTTCTCATCATCAGTAGACCTTTTCAGCGCTGCGCTCGTTGTCTTCCGGTTTGTATTTCCACAGCGATTTTGCATATTTATGAATGAACGGCTCACTTTAAAATCTTCACTTGTGATAACTTTATAAGTAAATCCATTCACCAGCTAATTACTCGTCGACAGCGAAGCCATAGAAATATACAGAGCTACCGCAAAAACGAAATTTCGTTTATCCCAATATCCAAAAGATGGCTGTGCACTTGTTTCTCTGGCGCATAAGTCTAGAAAACAAATGAATGTTCACGTTTTAAGGGAAAATCCAATGCTCAAACTCACAAAGCCCCTTCACATGGGGGTATTTCACAGGTGACTAGACATTATAGGGACCACCAGAGCCAAAGAAGACTTAGTCAACACAGAACATGTATCATTCAAGAAAACAGCCACAAGCAAACAGGAATCAGTGACTTAAAAAGGGAAATCAAAATGTTGCTGGCTCTGCCAGTAATGAACTTCTGACCTTGTGGTCAGTAAGGCTACGAGAGGTCACTCACCTGACCAGACTCTTACCCTCTTACAGCTTGTTGCATCATGTCTGAGCAGAGCTTCTTCACATCACAAAATGACTCATACTCTCATAGTCAGCCTTTAAAATGCCCACGATGAGGCACAATGAGATAATTGCTCTGATCTAAACCACACTACAACAAGATGTGATGTACTCAGTAATATTGTTTTTAATGGAACAATCTTGAGTCCTCCCAACGAGAACTCGATAAGTGGGACATCTTCATACAACACTTAAAAGAAGAAACTGACCCATACTGACTTTTTATGACCAATAGTATTAAGTGTCTGAGATTATTCAATTAAAATGATTTACTTTTTTGATGCAATTATGGCTAAATGGTTAATAAGGTCAAACAAATTAAAACAAAAACTATATAATTATAAAACTAATATAATAAGGTAATTCGTACAAAAAGAAATGCTGATAGAATTTCAGACGATAATTACTCCTAATAGAAGTAGTAGCATTTTTGTTATGAGGCATGATATAAATTGTGCAAACTGCAAAGTTGCTTTGCAATTCAATTGGTCGCAAAGTAATTTTTCTGATTAAATTAAATTTAAATACAGAATTTATTTATCATTTATTTATTTATTTGTTTCTTGTGTTAAGTTAAAGGTAAAACACTAGACAAAACAATCAGTTTTACCCATGGCTATATTTAGACAAATTAATTTTCAAATTTTTGTGTCAAAATCATTTAAATTCACAGCAAATGAATCATTCAGACCAATTTATTAATCGTTTTGACCATCAAGTCAAGTAACTGTCAATAACCAGTCAAACATATTCGGGTCAATGAAAAATGATGTGCTTATTTTTGTGTCCAAGTGCATTATTTGCTTTTAAAATAATTAGATAATTCATGACATACATCACTTTATTCTATAAAACCTATTTAGTTTGAATTCATTTTTAGTATAAATAACGCATTGTTTCATGTTCTGTTATCTTAAACCCTCCAAATTAAATGGTGTCTTAATCATAATAAAAAAATACTATGTCGTCATTTTTGAAACCTAAAAAAAATTAAAAGGTGAAACTAATATATAATATATAGACTCATTACATGCAAAGTGTCATATTTCAAGCCTTTATTTGTTATAAATGTAATGATTATGGTTTAAAGCTATTAAAACCTTTTCACCATGTTCTAATTTTGAATTTGGGGTTTTCATAAGCATATAAGCGACACATCTTCTAAAAATAATCACTTTCTCGTAGACGTCACTTGATTTAATAGTCAATGAATAAGTTCATACCGTCACAAGAACTGTCAAAACAGAACAGACACCTGCTCAACCATAACGATGCTCAGCACACACACATATGGTTAACTAATCTAAAGTTTCCTTCATGACGTAAAATACATCCAGATGTGCGCAAAAGACCCCACATCATACACACCTGTAGTTCCGATTTCCATTCATGAGGTCTCTGTCCGGTTCCGTCCCCGGCTCGCAGTAGACGAACTTCAGAAACTCTTCTTGGATCCCGACGGCCCCCCGAACCGGTTCCGTTAACCCAATGCGAGCGTCTCCTCCCGTGTTTCGAGCTCCTAATCCAGCTTCCCCAGAAGCCCGTACGTTAACGTTATATCAACGGAGGCCGAGAGAGAGGAGGGAGGTACGGTGCCCCAGTAACGTTACAAGGCTCGAAAGATCTGTTCGGGATTTCAGGTTCGGTTGACAGATTGACGTTACGGCCAGCTAGCTAGACAGCTAAAACGAAAAGTTCCCCTCAGCCTGCTCAAATACAGTCCCGAATCGCTGTTTCTGTAACCGCGACGCCTTCAGAAACGCGTCTTTGGAAAGACTGAGGCGGTTTGTTGAGGTGTTATGACGTTGTAGCGAGTAAAAGTCCACTTATGTCGCCTCCTCTCTTCGACAGCGCTAGCCTGCTACTGCTAGTGGCCAGGCTAACCAGCTAAGCTACATTCCCATCTGAGAGGAGAAAAAAATCACGTCAAACGCCGTCTTCTCTTAACTTAAAGTCCCCGATCATCACTGGCTTCCAAGCTCGAAGCTAGCGGCCTTCCAAAAGAGTATATTCCTTCCGTTTTACGCCAGTGGTGACATTAAATAAGTTGAGAGTTGAACTCTCTCTCAGGGTTTCTCTTGACAGTCTCTGCGAGACTCGCAACGGCTAAATATGGAGCGTCTGATGGTCCGCGAGCGAGACGCACGGACCTGGCGCGAGAGCCGCGCGCTGATTGGCTGCGAAGGGAAGCGCAAGTCCACGAGTGAGGGGGCGGGGTTTGAGGCAGCCTCCGAGTGACCATCATCATCATCATAAGCTTGTGCGAACAACTGATTAGGCCTCATTCATCTTGTTAAAATCTATCTATCTATCTATCTATCTATCTATCTATCTATCTATCTATCTATCTATCTATCTATCTATCTATCTATCTATCTATCTATCTATCTATCTATCTATCTATCTATCTATCTATCTATCTATCTATCTATCTATCTATCTATCTATCTATCTATCTATCTATCTATCTATCTATCTATCTATCTATCTATCTATCTATCTATCTATCTATCTATCTATCTATCTATCTATCTATCTATCTATCTATCTATCTATCTATCTATCTATCTATCTATCTATGAGGTCAAATCTATCCATACATCCATTCACTAATTTTACTATGAAATTTTTTGAATAAAAATACAGATAACATGAATTATGATGTTAACTCATTGAATTAACCAGAATAGGTGATTTATTGCACTTGATTTACACTTCAGAACAAGTGATTTTAGCATTCGATTCAATGCAACAACTTAAATTAATACTGATAACATGAATTAGGGTGTTGATGCATTTAATAAACCAGAATGGGAGTGACTGCACTCAGTTCTGGTTGGAAAAGGACGCATGAAAACAGCAATTATTAAAGTCAACATGAAATCAAAATTGACCACATTCACACATTCCTGGTCTTTTTGAGCATGAATAATCGATGCATGTCATTCTTTTAAAAAAACGTTGTCACCATCATCATTTATCAAAACGTAAAAACTTGTTTCGAATATTTAGTTTTTTCTTGGAAAGGTCATATTTTGGAAGTAAAGTTGCATGCAAATGCAATCTACTATTTACAGATATTAATCTGTAAATATCGTCATGCCATTGTATAGTTAAATTCTCAATCTGAAACAGCACTCAACACAGTGTTTAATAAAAAACAACTTTTATTTTCTTTAAAAAATAATCATCCCAAACAAAGTCTTCTCACTATTACATACAGAGCCAAAATGACTTGCTTATGTCTCCATTGACTGAATCTATTGGGAAGTGCTATGATACGGACTGTTCTTTATCAGTGGCTTAATATTGCTTAGACGTTGAGGTCGGGTGAAGTCCACTCTCCAATTACGCCGTTACACACCTCCATCTTGTTCTTCACCCACAAGGTGCCTGTGGCTTTTGAGAGTCAATACTGCATCAGAATATTCAGTCTAAGAAAGACCAGATCAACATTATACAGTGGGGATCGATACAAATCACCTCGTTGGGTTGGTAAAACCTAATATATAAAGGCATGTCTTCATAAACATGAGTTAAAAATAAAACATCTAAAAATCACTTTGAATTTCAACACGATTTGAGGTGCTTCCAACAATGCCGCCTTGTGGAGATTCTATGCCACTTTTTTTTAGGTTTCCTTAAAGAGACAGTTCACCATTATTATGATCCGTTCTTGTACGGAGCTATGAAGGAGAAAAAAAAGCCAGTATCCAAATTTGGAATGAGTTATGACTGAATTTTCATTTTAGGCCGAACTATTCCTTTCCCTAACAGGTGAGAAAGTATGGCATCAAATGTTAGTACGGTTACGACACAAACTCAGTTTAAACATGCATTTCATACATCCACCATTATGACATGATTACATGGCATAGTGTTCCCCTAACCTGCTCACTGCACCAATGGGCATCAGGCGAGGGTAAAAGGTGCAATGATAGTGGCAAGTGTGTTGTGTGTGCATGTGCTTGCTGGGTAGGGATTGTGGCAGTGTCACCGACTATGGCGAGTGGGAGTGTGTGGTCATGTGACCCAACGGCCTTCACGAGGAGCAGTGGGTCACTATATACAAACTGGATTTCTTGGTGGATACAAACATCTCATTCTCTTCTAGCATCTTAAACGTGCCGTGTGTTTTGTCTGATCTGATCTCGGTGACCTTGTATTGCTACGTTTACAGAGGTCAATGGAAGAAATGATTTAAAGGAAAAGTTCACCCAACAATAAACATGTACACAAACGAGTCATACCAAACCCTCATTATTTACATTATAACAGGGCTGTGTGTGTCTTCTGAAATCACATGGTAGATTTATGTGAGAACCAGACAAAATAATTCATTATTAACCAATTAACGTCTTCATTGCAGCTCTCAAATCTCACTTGCAGTCCCGTTTTAAAGGAGTAGTTCACTTTTAAAAAAACTTTTGCTGATAATTTACTCACCCCCATGTCATCCGAGATGTCCATGTCTTTCTTTCCTCAGTCGAAAAGAAATGAAGGTTTTTGATGAAAACATTCCAGGAATTTTTCCATATAATGGACTTCAATGGGGTCCAAACGGTTCAAGGTCCAAATGAGAGTTTCAGTGCAGCTTCAAACGACACCAGACGATAAATAAGGGTCTTATCTAGGACCCTTCGAGTCACGACTCGAAAAAAGATTCGTTCGTTTTGATGAACGAGTTCGAATCACGAACGAGCATCACAGAACAGAGCAAGGCGAGCATTTGTGCTTATAAAACTTAAACTTTTTAATTTATTTTTTAAATGACCGATCGTTTCGCTAGATAAGACCCTTATTCATCGTCTGGTGTCGTTTAAAGCCCTTTGAAGCTGCACTGAAACTCTCATTTGGACCGTTTGGACCCCATTGAACTCCATTATATGGAAAAAATCCTGCAATGTTTTCATCAAAAACTTTAATTTCTTTTCGACTGAAGAAAGAAAGACGTGGACATCTTGGATGACATGGGGGTGAGTAAATTATCAGCAAAAGTTTTTTGAAAAGTGAACTACTCCTTTAAATGGCCACATGAAATGCAGGAACATAAGTTGAAAAACAGTCAATAATAATTTCAATCTGGGTTCTTTTTTTTTTTTTCTTGGACTATAGCACGCAGACTAGTTTTATAATACTTGAATGGTGCTTTTTATCCTTTACAGTATAAATCACCCTCTACTAGTGTTGTATTAAACAGAGCACATTGTGTTTCATGGAAGAAAGGAAATTAACCAGGGTTTGCAATGACATGAGGGTGAGTATGAAAGAAATCGTCATTGTTGGGTGAACTATTCCTGTAAGTTCAAGAAGATGTATGTGCACTGGAAAAGTAAAATGGTAAAAATCAAACCCTTCCAAAAGAGCATCAAGTAAATGGTACAGACGAGGGCTCTTTTGAACGGTTGGCATCATGTTTGGCTGGTGCATAATGCTGGTTTGGGTGTTATGCTGATGTGAGAGTGCATGTGCTGTGGTCCATCTATCGTTACGCTAATTCGGCCACTCTTAAACTACCGAGGCGAGTCTAAATCCGATAAGCGGACACCGCTGCGACCGCTGGAGAGACACAGTTGATCACTGCCTGCGCTGCTTCACAGACAACACGTAAACGCTGGGCTCGCGGTGCTTTACGACTAAAACTAAGTGCTAATGTACCATGTCTTTCACAAAAATAAACATTTTAAAAGAAAATCTCACAACAATAAAAATAATGCCAATGGAAGTGACAACAATTCCTCCACTTCGGGCGTTTGAAGCCCAGACGGACGGGTTTAGAGGCAGCTTCGTGGTGACGTACAAAACGACAGGTTCGTCTGCGTTCCTTCCCTCCGTATTGCATACATACGTACATGTGGGAGTGCGAAGGTAGTATATAACAATACACAATTAAATAAAAAAAAAAGAGCATAGTTCAGCCAGACTCAACAAAACGCGACGAGTGAGACTTCATGTTCTGTGCGCACTGGTAGCACCAGGTGAACTGGCTCGAGGGAGTGTGTGTCGGTCCGAAGCCCCTGATGAGGTGAGGCTTGGCTTAGGCAAAGTACATGGTCCTCAGGGTGTCGTGGTGAATCTGCACAGCTTTGGCCAGCGCCTGGGGGTCACGACCGTTGCTCTGCCCGGAGACGTGGCTGCCCTCCCCGCTACAGACGAGAGAAGAGAGAGGAAGATTTAAAGGAGTAGTTCACTTTAAAAAAAACTTTTGCTGATAATTTATGTCATCCAAGATGTCCATGTCTTTCTTTCTTCAGTCGAAAAGAAATGAAGGTTTTTGATGAAAACATTCCAGGATTTTTCTCCATATAATGGACTTCAATGGGAACCAAACGGTTCAAGGTCCAAATGAGAGTTTCAGTGCAAACTGTTCAAAGGGCTTTAAACGATTCCAGACGATGAATATCAAGCGAAACGATCGATCATTTAAAAAAAAAATATATATATCCGCGTTCGTGACTCTCCTGTTCGAACTCTTTCATCAAAATGAACGAATCTTTTTCTGAGTCAATTCGTTTGTTGAATGAACCAAATGACACGAAAAAAGATTTGTTCATTTTGATAAACGAGTCCGAACAGGAGAGTCACGAACACGCATCACAGAACAGAGCAAGGCGAGCATTTGTGCTTATAAATCTTAAACTTTTTTTTTTTTTTATGAGCGATCGTTTCACTTGATAAGACCCTTATTCATCGTCTGGAATCGTTTAAAGCCCTTTGGAAAGTTTGCAGTTTGTACTGAAACTGTCATTTGGACCTTGAACCGTTTGGTTCCCATTGAAGTCCATTATATGGAGAAAATCCTGGTATATTTTTATCCAAAAATTATTCCTTAATTACTTTTCGACTGAAGAAAGAAAGACGTTATTTTTGTTGTTTTTTTTGCGCACAAAAAGTGTTCTCGTCGTTTGATAAACTTAAGATTGAGCCCCTGTAGTCACTTGGACTATTTTAACGATGTCTTTGATGACTTTTCGAGGCCATCAATTGTCATTCCCTCAAGAAGCCTATGGACTAGTATGCAGGAGCGATCTTAATACAGTCCCTCCAGAAAAACGCGATTATGTGATCGCTGAATTTAATGCAAAATCAGCCAAGGTCCGCATATTTATGCGGGGGCCGCATTTTTTCGAATAAGCCGCACTTTCGCCGCATAAATTGCCGATTTCCGTGCAAAATATGCGGGGTTTGCATAATTTCATAATCCTCGCATTTTCGTTGCAAAAAAAGTCACATGTATCTTAGCAGAAAGTTGAAAAATGTGCGTTTGCTTCACACAAGAGCAGCCATTTCCCCCCTGTTTCCATGGGAACGTTATGAAGTGACGCAATTACGCGACGCCAGACAGACTCACGGAGGCGATTGACATCTCACAAATCGAACTCGTACTCGTTCTACCGTCACATCGTTACTTAATAAACAACATAAGATAAAAGAAGTAGCATCAAACAGAACTTACCTGCACACATGGGGTGTTCGAGGCGCACATATAACACTGCAGAGAGTTCAACAGGGAGCGCGCAGCTCTTAAAGGGGCCACACCTTATTTACACTCGTTACAGTATGAAATAAAACAAGATGAGAAATTAAATATTCCCAGCACTTTCTATGATGTAGTATGCTTGCTTATCAAAGGAAGTAATAAGAAATGACTCTTACATTAGCCTAGTGAGAACAGGGTGTTGGGGGAATCACTTTTTTTCTCTTTTTCATCAAACCGCAATTTTTGCAAGTTCCCGCAATTTTTGCAAATTCCTGCAATTTCATCGCATAAAATTGCATAAATATGCCGCATATTCCATCGCTTTTTTAAGAAAACGGGCCGCGTAATCAATCAAAAAAACTCCGCGTTTTTCTGGAAGGACTGAATACTAGTATGGTAAATGTTATATATAAATCGCAAATTTTTTCACAATTTTTTGGAAATTACCACCACAAAATCAGTCATTTTGATCGCAAAAATCACAAAAAAAAAATCGTGAAATCCTGGAGGGACTGTTAATATCTTAAATATCTTAATTTGTGTTGCGAAGATGAACGAAGGTCTTACGGGGTTTGGAACAACATGGGGGTGAGTAAATACTGACTGAATTTTCATTTTTGGGTGAACTAACCCTTTAATGTATTTTATGTCCAATTCTCCAAAAAGTTGTGTATTAGTATAACGGCTAACTAGATGTTTGCTTTGATGCAATACATTGTAAACGGATACCTTGCCTGTTGCTATGGTTACTCACAGTGGATGTGGCCAGCGCATTTATTTATTAATTTCCAACGGTAAACAGTCAGTTTCACCAGAACTCCTCTATCACTTTTTACTGGGCACCCTGCAGCCAATCAGAATCGAGTATTCACCCAGACCATGGTTTAATGCGATTTAATGGCATCTGCCCTCACCTGTCATGCTCCTTATCCACCAGATGGTAGCGTGCTCGGAAAGCCACGAGCCGGGCGTAGTACGCAGGCGCCGGGATGGACACGGAGCGGGTACAGCGCACATACGTGTGGCACAGCTGGTACGTGAGGATCTGCAGCTCGTCAGCCGTGAAGCGGTTGTCGTCCCACAGGACGTAGTAGTGTGACGGCCGGCTGGTGCCCTGAGACCGGGACAACAGGAGGTCAAACCGCATTCACAAGCACACAGCCAACGCATGTTCGCACCAAGACTGTGCGCTTACCTGAATCCCTGCATGACTGCACAGGTAGAAATCAAACTCGAACGGATGCGTGATGCTGGTGTCAACCGTGGTTCCTGCTGGGATGTTCCCACTCTTCCCGATCTGAGCAAAACCACAGGAATTATTATCGTTAACGAAAACTAAAACCATAAAGAAACGTTTTTATTGCTTAAAATAAACATTATTTAAATAAAAATAATTTCATTAGTACATTTTAATGGGGCGGTTTCCCAGACAGAGATTAAGCTTAGTCTTAAAATAAAGTATAACATCTAATTCAAAATAATCAGTGTTGGGTAAGTTACTCTAAAAAAGTAATTAATTACTAGTTACTAATTACCTCTTCAACAGTGTAATTAGATTACGGTACTAATTACTCTCTCTAAAAAGTATTTAATTACTAATTACTTTCAAAATCCCATATCAATCTCAACCAGCTGAATGATACTAATTCTTTCAAATAAATACTATAAAATTGCATGAATTATCCTTAAACTGACCAAGGTGGAGAAGGTTACATTATAAAAACATACTTTTTAGCATTTCGATGTTAAACCCACTATTGTTTTATGTCTGATCTCATGACATTTCACACTTTTTTCATACATATTTTACAATAATTCATACGAATTTGTACGAGTGCGGTCGTACGATTTAGACACCTCATAAAATGCCTACGAATCGCTCTATACACAGTATTTACCTCAATTACATCAAAAGTAACTGTAATTAAATGACAGATAAATGAGAGTAATCCCTATCTTTACATTTTCAAGGGAAAAGTAATTAAATTACAGTAACTAATTACTTAGTAATTAGTTACACCCAACACTGAAAATAATAAAAAAAAAACTATTATATAGTGCATAGTACATCCATGATACTAAAATAAAACACTGCGTTTTAAAACGCTGTTTTCGAGGAACTCACTCGTTCAGATTTATCGGCGCAGAAGAGGCGTGTGTGGTGGCGTTTCTGCACCACTATGTACGTGATTCCCGGCTGGTAGTCTTTCTCCAGCTTGATGCAGGCGTCTCTGATGGCCAACAGCTCGTAGTGCAGGATCTACACGAAGTAAATCATCGTGAGACGAATAAAAGTGACACAGTGTCACAAAAGATTTCTATTTCAAATAAATGCTACAGTATATTTTTACTTTCTATACATCAAAATGTTTCCAGCTTTCCACAAAAATATTAACCTGTTTTCAACATTGATAATGATCAGAAATGTTTCTTGAGCAGCAAATCACATATCACAATCATGATCATGAGACACTGAATACTGTAAATTCTAAAATAAATCCACATAGAAATTTAAATTGTAATCATATTTCACAAAATTCCTGTTTATGCTGTATTTCTTATCAAATAAAATCATCCAAATCATCTTACTGAGCCCAGTCCTTCGAACTGTGTTGCATTCGGTTGTTTGAATGAATGATAATAGGGCCTTACTTGCGGTAACTGTCCCTCTGGAACGCCGTCCCGGTAGAAGATGATTCTGGTGGGTTTGAAGCGGGTGGACTTGTAGAACTGGATGAGGAGCTCTCGCACCATGTATGAGAGATCTTCAATAATCTCCTGTCTGGGTCGCTGGACTCGCACTGTAGCGCAGTATCTGCTGGGGTGAGCGTCCATACTGCCCACAACCTGACAGACGATAATGTAATGTAATATAATATAATGTAACATATTGTAATATCATATCATATTATGTAAGGTAATATACATTATATTACCTTACATAATATTATATGATATTACAATATCATTACATTACAGTTCTACAAGTCATATCATATAACATAATATAAGATAATATCATATATTATCATATAATATAATGTAATATAATGTAATACCATATAATATAATATGATATAATATAATATAATGTAATATAAGACAATATAGTATAAAATAATGTAATATAATATAATGTAATATAATATAGTATAATATAATGTAATATAGTATAATATAATATAATGTAGTATAATATAATGTAATGTAATATAGTGTAATATAATATAATGTAATATAGTATAATATAATATAATGTAATATAATATAATCATAATAGGATGTGATCAAAAATACTCTTTGTTATGAGAATTTGTAATCTCTCATCTTTAGCACTTTTTGTTAGGCGCTTGCTGACGAGACAGAAACAGACGAGACACATTTGCGTTGTCAACTTTTTTTCTTTTTCACGTGCAAACGTTCAGTTTGTGCCACTTTTGAAATGCAGTTTTTCATCTAAATATGTTAATGTCAGTAAATATGTAAATGGTTTGTAGTATATTCTGAAATATTTTTACCAATTAAAATAAGTGTTTTCTATGTGAATGTATTATAAAATGTAATTTATATGATCAAAGCTGGATTTTCAGCATCATTACTCCAGTCTTCGGTGTCACATGATCCTTCAGAAATCACTCTAATATGATGATTGTCTACATTTATGATTATGATCATTATTGCATGTTTTTGTGGAAACCGTGATACATTTTTTCAAGATTCTTTAATGAATAGAAAGTTCAAAAGAACAGAATTTATTTGAAATGTAAATATGTTGTCACATTCTAAAAGTATCTTTGCTGTTATAAAATAATCTTACTGACCCCAAATGTTGGAACGGGAAAAAATATACTAAAATGTATTTGAAAAGCTTTTATTGCATGCTAAGTATAGACAATTACATATTTATGAACTTAAAATAAGTACCCTGGAATTGTACTTTTGCTATACTAAATTGATATACTTAAAGTCTGCTAATTTTTGGAACAACTAATTTTGTCCTTAATGCACTTTAGTTAGAAAAGAAAATAGAAATAGTGCTAAAGATAAACTAAACTAAAGATATGTATATTTAATTGTGCTAAAATTTTACTATTGCAAGTACACTTTAAATATCATGCATCATTTAAATATTATACAATATACAGAGATCCTTACTAATAGTGATAGTCAAACACATTTTAGGCTTAATATTAAGAAATGCGTATCATGCAGTAAAAAAGTACTCCAAATAAAGTTTAATTATAATATTTATATCAGTAAGTCTCAAGTAAAATGTCGGTAAATATGTTAATGGATTTGTATTGCACTTAGTATGAACCATTGTATATTGATATAGATATTTTTCACTAGGGTAATGTATGTATTAGATGAAAAACTGCATTTCAAAAGTGACACAAATTGAACGTTTACACGTGCAAATGTGTCTAGTCTGTTTCTGTCTCGTAAGCAACCACCTAAAAAAAGTGCTAAAGATGAGAGATTACAAATTCTCATCACTTACAAAAAGAAAAAGACCAGAAAGAACATGAACAGCTGTTTTCAATGTAAAATAAAACTGCATACACCAGAGCAATGCATGTCACAAAAATAAAGACATGCTAATAATGTGCAACAGACGTGCACAAAAGTGAGAAAACCAAAATCGGGTGTCGTCAGCGGTTTACCAGCGCCACTCCCTCCACACACACACGTTCTCTCCATCCGTCTGCGTGACTCAGGCCTTTGTCACCATCGCTTGGCAACCGGCAAACGAGAACACGCTTACAAGTGGTTACATGTGCAGGGAGGAAGGTGACGTCATTTCCTCCTCGCCTGTGAGTCACAGACGAGCTATTTTCCCTTTTCAAAGCTCCCATCTGGCCCTGTCCACGTCCCTTTCACTCTTCTGACACACTTCCAGGGTTGTCAGCACCATTACGTACAGCAAACTGGGCGGCTCTCGCCACAGTGAGCACTGGGGTGTAATTACAGCCCTCTATATAAGACTAAGACTAAAATGAAGTGCCTTTCGCCTCAGGTTGGGTTTCGGAGATGTTGTGTTACATTTATATAACTTCATTATTTCCCAGATCAACAATAGCTCTTCTTGTTATATAATATATTTGATGACAGGTTAATACAAGAAAGCTGTTAGACTAAACCATTCACGCTTTGTGCATCTCATAGGGGTGTAACAGTATATCGCACTACAAAACGTGGATAGTGACAATCCGTATTGTGTATCGTTCACCCAAAATAAAATTTACTGTGTGAGAAAAATGTCTAGTTTTCAGAGTTTTAGTGTCAGTACTATATTAAACAGCTATATATAATGTTGAATATAATGTCTAATAATGAAATGGGGGTGCCCTCAAAAGTGAAGCCAAAACGTCTCGATCGCCCCCCGGTGGCCGGTCCCAGTATACGTCATAAACCCCGCCTCCCCATGTTATTCAACGGCACGAGACCAACTAAACAAATATGGTTTCTGTCATTTACATCGAGCTTATGTAATTTTTAAGGGTTTTTTTTATTAAATAAGTTTGTTTTTAGTAAGTTATTTGATGTGTGGTGGTGTGTTGTGATTGGTTGAGCGCTAACTAACTCAACTAGGCTCAAATAGGAATTATTGAAATGAGGAATATTGTGACGTGTTCGTTCCTGGAAGAAACTCGAGACTACAATGGGGGTGTTTCAGGGGGTTCAGAAACACTGACACTGATTGCAAATCTTTTTCATGCTCAAACAGACACATTACACACTAATAAATGCAAAAGAAAAGCACAACAGGTGCATTTAACTGTGTATTTGCCTTCCTGATATTGGCTAAAACGCAATGCTAAACTGCATCCAAACTACCCAACTACCACCAAATGTTCCTTTGACGCAATGTTTGTTAATGCTATTATTGTTGCATGGTCCATTTCAGATAAACCTGCATCTTAATTGTTTGGTCTCTACGTGACTATCTTTTTACACTTTCAAAACAGTGTGATAGTTGCACAATTTAAATGTTTATTCATGTGATGACAGCTGATTCTAGCTTAAACAGATTCTCTGCCCTACTTGGGTTTAAAATCTCATTCAAAATGCAAAAGAAGAAGATAAGAATGTGTGTGTGTGTGTCATGCTCACAGCAGTAATAGACGGCTTCTTCCCATCACCAGCCGGCGGGTGTGTAACATCTGCTCCGAGGAAGATCACTGGCTGCTGGAACACTGCAGACCTGCGCAGACGTTCAAATACAGTGTTGATTCAGGCTGAGAGATTTATAGGAAAAAAGGCAATTGTAATTAAAAATGCAATAAAAAAAGAACATCTAGGTTTGCATGTGGTTGTTTGAAGGTTAGCACAATTTTGCCCAATAAAAACTAGTTTTTATTGTATTCTTTATTTATTAAAACTAATAATAAAAAAAGAAATTAAATAAATAAAATATAAAATTAATAAAAACTAAATATTACACTAGTAATTTTCTTGGTTTGTTTTAGTACGTTTAATATTTTTGTTATAATAATATAATAATAAATACAATATAAAAATATGAAAACATTACAAAAGTAATATTTCTTTTGTTTTTATTTAGTAGTTGTTATTACAAATAAAATAACAAACAATAACAAATAAATAAAATGTAAACAATAAATTTATTTCTAATTTTTTTATTTAGTATATTTCTTTAAAATTTTATTAATAATAATAAATACAATATACAATTATTACAAAATATAACAAAAGTAATAGTTATTTGTTTTTATTTTGTATTTTTATATTTTATTTATTTAATAATAATAATAGAAAATAAATACAATGTAAAAAATATGAACAAAATATTACCGTACTAATATTTCTTATTTTGTTTTTAGTATTTTTATATTTTATTATTATTAAAGATTAAAAAATAATTTATTACAAAAACATTATATTTTCATTCATTTATATATATTAATTATTATTATTATTATTAATAAAAAATAATAATAACTATAACAACTTTCATTAAAAGTATTGCTAGTATTGTAAAATAATTGTCAATATTGCTATAATGTAAAATAATCTTTTTTTAGAATTTAAGAAAAATTATATAATAACTGTAAAATTACATTACTAATATTTATGGCTTTCGTAATTTCTCCATTCAAACATTAAACCATTAGGCAAGGCAAGGCAAGTTTATTTATATAGCACATTTCATACACAGTGGCAATTCAAAGTGCTTTACATGGAAGAAATTAAAGAAGTCAGAATAATTAAAACAGTTTAGAATAAAAAAAATCATAATAATAAAAATAAAATACAGTTAAGAGTAAACATAAAATAAAATAAAGTAATACCCCTATCTGAGATGGAAGAGATTGAGCTGGTTTACGGTGCTACATTAACGTTTTATGTTGATGGAAAACTGCGAAAACTATGTTGAGGTGAAAACAGTGTAAGCATGCTTTACTCAGAAACACACAGCACATATACTGACTGTATGAATTTAACATGAATGCATCCTTAAAGCCATATCACGATTCCAACAAATGGTGGAGCTCTACAGCCCAAAACACATCGGTTTTCAGTATTATATGCGTTTCCTATTTCCAGATTAGATCTTTTTCTCTTTCTGTGTTCTGTTTTACATTGTAAAGCACTTTGGTCAACTAGTGTTGTTTTAACTGTGATATAAATAAAGTGGCTATTGCTAGGAACTTCAGTAACACTCTCACCGTTGATGCGGGACCAGGATGTTGTTGATGCCGCCGAGTTTGACGTTGATTTTGAGGCAGAGGTTGGAGAGCGTCTGAGGGGAGGTTTTCACCACGTTCTTCACCTGCACACACTGAGTGGCCATTCCTAGAAGAGTGTCTCCGACACGCTTCACTTCCGCTGCACAGATCAAGCGCGAGTCGGTTAGTCTGACGGCATTCGGCGGGACGTTCGGCTCTGCGTGCGACGCTCTTACCGTAGACGGGTGTTTTTCCCGGCAGGATGACGATGATGAGCTGCAGTCCAGAGTAGGTGTTCTTCAGGTGCCTGAACATGGGCTCCACGCTGTCGGCTCCCTGTGCGTACTTACAGAAACACGGCTGACCCTGGATGGGCATCCCAGCATCCTTTGAGATCTTACGCAGCTGGTCGGTGAAGTTCCTGAGGAAGAGATCGTCTCAAACATCACCACTGTAGTATTTATAGCTGTATTATTCTGTAATCTATGTGGGCGTCCTTACTTGAGCACCTCTTCCCGACACTGTTTCTGTGGGGCGAAGCAAGCGATGGCCCAAACCTTGATCTCAATGCCGTTGTAGAACTGCTTTCCCCTCATATCCCACACACCCTGGTTGGGAGTCGCGATGGCACGGTTCTGTTCAGAGAGAATTTAGAAACAGGTATGCATTTGGCAGATGCTTTTATCCAAAGTCACTTTGCATTGAATTATTTTTTTTGTTTTGTGAGAGTCTCTTCTGCTCATCAAAGCTGCATTTATTTAATTAAATATACAGTAAAATACAGTGAAAAATTAAATGCAATTAAAATAACTGTTTTCTATGCGAATATATTGTAAAATGTAATTTATTCCTGCGATCGAAACTGAATTTTTTTTCGCATCATTACTCCAGCCTTCAGTGTCACATGATCCTTCAGAAATCACTCTAATATGATGATATTTCTGATTATTATTATTAATGACGAAAACAGTTATGATGCTTTATATGTTTGTGGAAACTTTGATACATTTTTTTTTAGTATTCTCTAATGAATCGGAAGTTCAACAGAACAACATTTATTCAAAATGGGATCTTTTGTATTATTATTATTATCATCACTTTTGAACAACCGAATGCAACCTTGCTGAATGAAAGTATTTATTAAACGTCTTTTGAATGGTCGTTTATCAAATTTTCCAAAAATATTTCAAAAAGCAATATTCTTGAGCAGCAAATCATTCTATTAGAGTGATTTCTGAAGGATCATGTGACACTGAAGACTGGAGTAATGATGCGTAAAAATTTAGCTTTGATCACAGGATATAAGTTACATTTTACTATATATAACAATAAATAAATAATAGCAATATTTCACAATATAAGTATTTTGATTAAATAAATGCAGCCTTGGTGAGCAGAAGATACTTTCAAATTCATAATTAATCCAATCTTTTGAGCGGTAGTGTATTTTATACGTTCATGCATTCGATTTGAGCGTCAGATTCAGTCTAAAGGCTCTTACCCGCCCACCGTACTGCAGGATTGGAGCGGGGAGGACTCTGCCGGTCACCTCGGCCATGTCGTCCTTCACTTTGATCCCAAACTCTTGAATGTAGGGATCCAGATTAAAGTTAGCGTTCTTCATCTGAGCAAAAATAAATAAATAAATAAATAAGATTATGAAAATGTCTGACATTCAAGCAATATGAAACTGCAATAACAACCCATTTCATTTTTCCAATTATAATGCATTATTGACTGAAACCGGATAATATAATTTCATCAATCAGGAATTGATTTGAAATGTTAGAAAAAGAAAAGAAAATAATTTCAGAAGCAGAGCAAGTAATTGCATTTTCACAAAAGATTACGCAAACAATAAAGAGCAAAACTGTGCATTAAGAAAATAAATAAATAGGAAAGTAAACATTTACTGTAAAAGTCTACATTGAAAGTTTGTCTTACAATTATGGCTGGACAATATTGGGGAAAAAAAAACATATATTGCAATATTTTGTTTTTCGGTGATATACAGTATATTGCAATATGAAAACAATGTCTCCAGGTGACTTGAATAGCTCTTTAGAAAACAATAGTTCATCATTCTAGACTGATAGGATGATTCTGTGGGCGAATGAAGCTGCATAATAAACTCATTTTAGCTAAATACAATTATAGAACAAACAGTGCTTTATATTTTCAGGTAAGTCTAACAGAAATTGAAAGTAAGTAAGGGTTAATGCCCAACGAGGTGTCCATTGTCAGGTATTAATGGATGACGGCGAGACACAGAGGACGATTTCCTCCACCGAAGCCCATTAATACCTGATAATGGACACCTCGTTGGGCATTAACCCGCTTATACCACGGTCACTTGCCAAATAACACATTTCGAAAACATTAGTTCATATTTTAATTAGTTTTACAATCGAAATCTAAAGTTTTTATATTTTTATATATCTTTTTTTATATAAGATATTTGTAGTGATTGATAAATTTGACTGATACACGTCGATCCACAACACAACCGGAAGACAATACAATGCTGAATAAAGTTGTAGTTTTTGTTATTTTTGGACCAAAATGTATTTTCGATGCTTCAAAACATTGTAACTAACCCACTGATGTCACACGGACTACTTTGATGAGGTCTTTATTTCCTTTCTGGACAAGGACAGTACACCGTACACACATTTTCAATGGAGGGACAGAAAGCTCTCGGACTAAATCCAAAATATCTTAAACTGCGTTCTGAAGATGAACGGAGGTCTGACGGGCTTGGGACGACATGAGGGAGACTCATTAATGACATCATTTTCATGTTTTGGGTGAACTAACCCTTTAAAAAGTCCCATAAAGAGGAGATTCACGGCTTTTCTGTGATATCGGGTTAATCGCGATATCATTATAGCAGTCAGCAGCATCAAGTGCCATATATCATTTTTAACAGGAGAACGTGAAGTTTCAATCTATCTCATTTTAATAATCCAATTTTACATTTAATTTGTCTTAGAATGGATGAATTTACCAGATTTAAGAAAAACGGCAGCATATTTGTAGTGATTTTTTTTACTCAACTCAAACAAATCCTCCTGAAGTTTGGATTTTTTTCCTTTAGAAAGCTGTACTTGGATATTTTACATTTCCAGATGCAATTTTGACTACATGTAACAATCCCGAAGCAAGTTATAGGCATTTATTATAGGCGATTTTCAGTGAAAACAGTGTTTTTCATACTGACAATTGGCTATATAAACCTGGCCATGTGTCCCACAGCAGGCACTCACCAGTCTGCTGATCTCCTCCTGTCGGTCTGGTGCTGATCTCGCTGTGGCTTTGATCATGGTGGAGGTTTGGTTATCTGTCAGTTTCTTGATGCACCGCTGCCCTGCTACAATGTTGCACACCTACGGGAACAGCAAAGCGTATAAGAACAGAGACTGTGGGGTCTATGGCCATCCCAGCGTGCCGTGAGGAGGACAGGACTCACCTCCAGGGGCAGGTAGGTGTGTTTCTGCTCCTGGCCCACCTGTAGACAGGGCAGGTGCGGGTATTTCAGCTGCAGGTTGTACTTCTGCTTGAAGTATTGAGCCACGGTACATTCTACCGTCTGTCCGCTTTCAAGCTGCAGGGGGAACCTGGGGACACGATTGACAGGATCAAGACTTACATCCAAATTGGCAGTTGTTTTACAAACTATTCGACGGCAGAAAAGAGAGATGCACTTCATTGGGATACACATGTAAGAGTATGTCGAACATCAATGTTAAACATGCAAATAACCCAGGGTTTACTCATGCACAATGTCAAATTAGTGACGCACCGAATTTTCTAAAGATTTTAATTTAGCCGATCATTTGATCACTTTTATCAATGCTTAAATAAAATTGTTGCATTTAAACATTTAAATTGCACAAGTCAAATTTTATATCAACTTTTCAATGATATGAACTCCAGTTCGTTGTTGATATATAGATACTGTATTAAATCTATATACCACTTTTTAGCTCACTGCAGTTTTAAGGAAAAGGTATTTAGCAAGACCGATATTAGGCATTTTCCATAATATCGGTATCGGCAGTTATAATGGCTGATAAATGATATTTAAAAAAATAAAATAAAAACGGACGAAACACGCTTCAATCATCTCTCCTTGGCCTGTTGTATTGAAAATGTATGTTTTACAATTTGCAGTATGATGTTATCTATTGCTAAATTATGGCTCATCATAGACTAGCTAACCACAAAGCTAGCTAATGCCACTAACGTTAACGTTAACATTAATAAGCTTGGAAACCACATTGAACTTTTTCTGCTTAAATAAAGTAATTATTACTGTATTTATAGCTAGCATATCTCTAGTTACAGTCCCTGCATTGTAAAATGTACGTTAGACTTGCGAGGAGTGAACATTTAGACATAGAGAAAAAGAATCAAACGTATCTTGTGCAGAAAAGTTAGCTTTTCTTTTACACGTGTGTGAAATAAAAAAATATTTAATAAAAAAAATAAAAAATATCGGCCGATATATCGGAATATCGGATTTTAAAACCCAAATATATTTGTATCGGTATCGGCCTTCAAAATGCTTTATCGGTCGGGCTCTACTCAGCAATAATGTTGACTTATGATTTTTTACACTGTTTGTCTTAAAGCATATTAAAAACACCAAATAGACTTGCTTTTCATCACAGGGGGGCTTTAAGATAAATCGAATGAATAGAGCTTAAATTTAACAAACTGCTACAAGAGTTATTTAAAGAGACACTGATAACACTGAAATGCACCATTTGAGAAGTGCTTATGAGAAGCGGGTTTTGATTTCGCCCTCCAAAACTGGTTCGGCCACCACCTTAATTTCATTTTCTGATAATATATTTTAAGTTGCATCACTGAGTGAAATATCAAAACTAACTCAACAAGTGTGAACTCATATGAAAATGGCACAATTGCTCTGTTCCCAGAACTATACTCACGTTTGGTGACTAGCAGGCCGACGCGTGACGTTACAGACGCGGTACTTCCTTTTCATCTGACCACAGTGCGTGACCTCCACCTTCAGACCTGGAAATGTCCACCGGGAAAAAAGCTTAAGCACCATTAAGAAGCTCGTTATGGCTATTGTTATTTGAGGTTTTCAAAACAACAGCAGCTCAAACTACAAAACTAGACTGCATGCGTAAGAAATCAACAAATCCGTCAACACTGTCTACAACTCTTCTTCCGTCTGGTAGCCGGTATAGAATAGGGCTGAGCTTGCGAATCGAAATCGAATCGAATTGAACATGTGAATCGATACCCAGCCCTAGTATAGAACCATAGTTGTCAACATTGAACATTGAAAATAAGGGAGTTTTCCCGGAATCCTTCCCCAAAATAAGGGATTTTTTTTTACACGATTCTTACCCACAAACTTTAAAAATAAAGCACTAATCCTTAAAAGTCTAAAGAGTTAATAACTAGCCTAGAAACTAGTGTCATTTAAAGAAAAAAAATCTACATTTGGATTAGCTGTGTGTTGCTCTTGCCTTTATGACAACAATTTCAACTGTTATCACATCTTCCAAAACCCACAAAATAGGGAAGTGGGCTGTCTGTTTATTTCAATTACATTTACACATTTTATGTAGTTTTAAAGAGCCTATATTTAGCCTGGTGGTGGACCGTCACTCAGAAGACACACTCTGTTGTTATTGTAGCCTATCCCATCTTTTTATCCTCCTGAGGCCCAGAACGTTTTTTTCCAAAAATGTTTTCTTCTTCTTTGTGTAATCATTGTTAAGAGCATAAGAAACAAATGAAAAAAAAGAAAAGAAAAGATATTTTATTCATATGTTATATGACATTAAATTATATATAGGCAAAACTAATGGCAATATAAATCGATTATTATAATTATTATTTGTTTAAATTACATTGATATCTGAATTTATGTAAAAACCTTGACTTTCAAACATCAAAATGTAAAATGTAGGCTATTCCGGTACAAAATGACACATAAACATTGTTTCCTATTTTTTATTTATTTTTTTTTTGCCTGGAAACGCTTTCAACACGCTTGTGTGTCGCGTGAAAAAATAGGCGTCAGTTCTATTTCTAGCATGCACGCGTTTTCTGGAGTGTGCAAGCTCTAATCTGTTAACATGGGAACCGAAATAAAAACGGACACGCCACACAGCCAGTGTGTCTCCGGCCAGCGGCATCTGAGAATAAACGACTTCAAGCCGAATCAGTCCGAGCTCGTACGTCTCACACAATCAGAGTAAAAATACGGGATATTTTACGGGAAAATACTAAAACGGGAAGACAGCGGGAAAAGAGTAAAACTACGTGAGAAACCCGGAAAAAACGGGAGGGTTGACAGCTATGTATAGAACTCTGCTCAGTAAAACAAATCGGTTTAAAAATTCATTTGTGCCTTCAGTTGTAAAGTTTCTAAACTCTAGGTAAATGTATTTATTTGTGTATGTGTATGACATTGTTTTATGTGTATTCCTGTCTCGCTGCAACCAAATTGCCTACGGGAAATGAATAAAGATGAACTGAACTGAAATGAACTTTAAGAATTCGGTTTAATTGACGGACACCTTGTTTCTGTTTTTGTCATGCTGCTCCTCTAGAAAACCTATTTTACAGTTCCCTGCACCAGAATCAGCATCTCGGCATTTCACCAGTGTTAGAAACTGGGCGGCACTCACAGCCATTACAGTCTTCAGTATAAGACTAAAAACTTATTCCCTTTGGAATGCTTGATGATGTTTTTGGGCTTTCCCACAATAGGTTTTCATCTTAAATGTTGATTATTCTCCCCATTTTCTCCATTGTTGCGGCTCCTCTCTTCCCAGTCTGTCAGTACCGCTCTGTTTACTTCCTGTCTCTCCTTCTGAAAAGCACACTGTGCTCTGATTGGTCGGCTGGAGCAGTGTGTTGTGATTGGTCGAGCGCTTCGAGTGTGTTTGGTGAATGTCCCGCTCTAACCATAACCAAATTCAACACACTACTAACAAACTCAACCAGGCCCCGCCCCTTTATTATGCGTATTTATTATTTAAATGAGGAATCTTGTGACGTATTCGTTCCCGGAAGAAACTCAAGACTACAATGGAGGCGTTTCAGGAGTTCAGAAACACTGATATAGGGGATAACTCCAGCTGGACGACTTTTCAGAGCTTTTTCATGCTCAAACATCAACATCACACACACAGAAGAAAGATGACCATGGAAAAAAGCATTATAGTACCACTTTAAATCGATTTCTGTTTGAAAGCATGACATCAAAATGACTCATCCAATTCAATTTAACAAATAAATGACCGTGGCAGGACGCTGAGATCATCCAATGACCTCACCTGATACTTCATCTCAAACTAGTAGGGGTGTAAAAGCACACATTTGTTCACGAATGCAGCATTGTTTGAACCACTGCACATGCAGAACTTCAGTAAAAATGTAAAACTCTCCAGTTTCCCACTTGGATGGGATAATACTGTTTATGTCGATATACTTTGAGGCGAATGCATCTGAAAAACAATAAAGGGTACGGAGTGAACTGCTGTGTGAGAAGTGCATGATCCAAGTTCTCCTAAACATGAGATGTGCTTTATATTAAGAGCTTCAAACTCCCTCCTGTCAGATGTGTGTGCGGTTTAATGATTGAAGTCGGCATGAAACGGAAGTTGCGCTAGTCTTTCTTTCTCTATTTTGACTGAGTGAAACTACAAATGTAGGGCGGGGCTTAATTATGTCCATGGGGAATTAATTGGATGGTTGTGGGGAGTTATTCTGATTCAAGATTACCAGGAACATGAATTTGACAAAACAATGATGTGCACGGATAAATCAGTTATAAATACTACAGTATTCCATAAAAAAGAAAGGGTTGTCATTATCGATTTCATGGTGACGCACTCGTTTTCCTCAGTGAATAACTCATATCTCATATCTGTTAATGTTACTATTTCCATTTTGCATAAAGGCTCTTCCTGACGGCAAGCAAATCTCCAAAAAACATTGCACATCAAACAGACAGAGTGCATTAATAATATACATATTGTTGACATATTTTGCCTCCAAAAGTGGAATCACTTTAAATCTCTTCCCTTATTTACAACAGCAGCATAAACTGTAGTATGAGGAATTGTGTTGCATTGGATGACAGACCTTTTATTTAACTTTTTTTCACTAAACCACTGGTTTAATAAAAAATACAATATTTTTTTTCCCTTTGCATTACCGAATTTCATTTCATTTACCATTTTTCTGATGGCTTTTATCATGCAGTTGCTAAGGTGTTGCCAGGTTACTTTGTATGATTGTTAGAATGTTGCTATGCAGTTGCTAAGGTGTTGCCAGGTTACTTTGTGTGATTGTTAGAATGTTGCTATGCAGTTGCTAAGGTGTTGCCAGGTTACTTTGTGTGATTTTTAAATGTTGCTAGGCAGGTGCTAAGGTGTTGCCAGGTTACTTTGTGTGATTGTTAGAATGTTGCTAGGCAGTTGCTAAGGTGTTGCCAAGTTACTTTATGAGATTGTTAGAATGTTGCTATGCAGTTGCTAAGGTGTTGCCAGGTTACTTTGTGTGATTGTTAGAATGTTGCTAGGCAGTTGCTAATGTGTTGCCAGGTTACTTTGTGTGATTGTTAGAATGTTGCTATGCAGTTGCTAAGGTGTTGACAGGTTACTTTGTGTGATTGTTAGAATGTGGCTAGGCAGTTGCTAAGGTGTTGACAGGTTACTTTGTGTGATTGTTAGAATGTTGCTAGGCAGTTGCTAAGGTGTTGCCTGGTTACTTTGTGTGATTGTTAGAATGTTGCTAGGCAGTTGCTAAGGTGTTGCCAGGTTACTTTGTGTGATTGTTAGAATGTTGCTAGGCAGTTGCTAAGCTGTAACAAGGTTACTTTGTGTTATTGTTAGAATGTTGCTAGGCAGTTGCTAAGGTGTTGCCAGGTTACTTTGTGTGATTGTTAGAATGTTGCTATGCAGTTGCTAAGGTGTTGCCAGGTTACTTTGTGTGATTGTTAGAATGTTGCTAGGCAGTTGCTAAGGTGTTGCCAGGTTACTTTGTGTGATTGTTAGAATGTTGCTATGCAGTTGCTAAGGTGTTGCCAGGTTACTTTGTGTGATTGTTAGAATGTTGCTAGGCAGTTGCTAAGGTGTTGCCAGGTTGTTTGTGTTATTGTTAGAATGTTGCTAGGCAGGTGCTGAGGTGTTGCCAGGTTACTTTGTGTGATTGTTAGAATGTTGCTAGGCAGTTGCTAAGGTGTTGCCAGGTTATTTTGTGTGATTGTTAGAATGTTGCTATGCAGTTGCTAAGGTGTTGCAAGGTTACTTAGTGTTATTGTTAGAATGTTGCTAGGTAGGTGCTGAGGTGTTGCCAGGTTACTTTGTGTGATTGTTAGAATGTTGCTAGGCAGTTGCTAAGGTGTTGACAGGTTACTTTGTGTGATCGTTAGAATGTTGCTAGGCAGTTGCTAAGGTGTTCAGAACAAAGGAGAACCCCACCTTTGATCTCCTTGGTGAAACGGACCCTTTGCGAGTCCGTAAGTGTCTTGGGCTGCTCATCAATGTTGCGGATATCCAGAACTTCACACATGAACTCAATGACAGGCTGAGCTTTATAAAAGGCCGTCGCAGATACTGAAAACAAAAACAGAGTTTGTATATTTAAGTACAAAACATTGACGTTTCTGACATTGAATAAGTGAGCAATCAAGAGGAAAAAAAAAGACGTCACCGTCGATGTTGAGCATCATCTTCCACATGGCTGGCCGGACCGACTGATGGAAGCCGAACCACACCTCCCTGCCTCCACCCAGAGGATGATAATATCCTTCAGGAGGGGAAAAGAAGGAGCGTCCCACTGGAGTGTACCTGCAAATGAGAAAGACGGATGGTCCAATAGCTCCAAATCGTACTGTAGTGTGTAATACAGCTGTTTGTGAATGTAAAAAGCAAAGTTTTAAAGATCAAAGTGCACGACAAATAGAGTCATAGTCTCCTAAAAGAAAGAAGCGATTCTGAATTGCCTAAAAAACGAGTTGTCAGCAATTCCTCTATGAACCTCTGTAGGTTTGCATGATGACAGACTATGGTGTTCATTGGCTGTCTGTGAACAACGTCTATTTTGACCCTCAAACACTAGTTGTAGCTGAGACTGGAAAAAGGCGAGAAGACGCTGATTTCAAATCCATTTTGATGTACTTTCCAAAAAATGAAACTCTGGCTTGAATTGATATGGTAAAACAGAAAAAAGTATTTTAAAGTGCCCTTGGATGCATGTAAACTTATTGTAGCAGACTCCAATTAAAGCAGTCAATTATAGCAGACTCTGTAGCAGACAGAGACATTAAAATAATTTTTTTAATAAAATAAATCATAAAATAATAGAGCCCTATGAATAATGATTTTTTTTTTCTGTGCATTCAATTTACACTTTTCTGAATTTATGTTTTAATACAAATGTATCATTAAAAACAGAAATCAAGACATTTGTTAACTAGTTAATTTATCTTTTAAAATGTAACTGAAATGTTTACTGATGACACTAAAACATGGTAGAAAAAAAATGTGTGCTATTCCTTGGAACAAAAAGTGTCAAAAAATATATTATCATATATATTACTACTATTACTGGACACTAGTATATTATATTTATACAGCACTACATTTAATAAGTTTTAAAAATGTTGTCAAATTTTGTGGCATTCCATTACTGTATTCTATTACTGCATTCTAATAACTGTATTAATAAAAATTTTCTAATAACTGTATTCTATTACTGCATTCTAATAACTGTATTCTATTACTGCATTCTAATAACTCTATTCTATTACTGTTTTTTAATAACTGTATTCTAATAACTGAATTCTATTACTGTATTCTAATAACTGCATTCTAAAAACTGTATTCTACTACTGCATTCTAATAATTGTATTCTATTACTGTTTTCTAATAACTGTATTCTAATAACTGTATTCTATTACTGTTTTCTAATAACTGTATTCTATTACTGTTTTCTAATAACTGTATTCTATTACTGTTTTCTAATAACTGTATTCTATTACTGTATTCTAATAACTGTATTCTATTACTGTTTTCTAATAACTGTATTCTAATAACTGAATTCTATTACTGTATTAGAATAACTGTATTCTATTACTGCATTCTAATAACTGTATTCTATTACTGCATTCTAATAACTGTATTCTATTACTGTTTTTTAATAACTGTATTCTAATAACTGAATTCTATTACTGTATTCTAATAACTGCATTCTAAAAACTGTATTCTACTACTGCATTCTAATAATTGTATTCTATTACTGTTTTCTAATAACTGTATTCTAATAACTGTATTCTATTACTGTTTTCTAATAACTGTATTCTATTACTGTTTTCTAATAACTGTATTCTATTACTGTTTTCTAATAACTGTATTCTAATAACTGAATTCTATTACTGTATTAGAATAACTGTATTCTATTACTGCATTCTAATAACTGTATTCTAATAACTGTATTCTATTACTGTTTTCTAATAACTGTATTATATTACTGTATTCTAATAACTGTATTCTATTACTATTTTCTAATAACTGTATTCTAATAACTGAATTCTATTACTGTATTAGAATAACTGTATTCTATTACTGCATTCTAATAACTGTATTCTATTACTGCATTCTAATAACTGTATTCTATTACTGTTTTTTAATAACTGTATTCTAATAACTGAATTCTATTACTGTATTCTAATAACTGCATTCTAAAAACTGTATTCTACTACTGCATTCTAATAATTGTATTATATTACTGTTTTCTAATAACTGTATTCTAATAACTGTATTCTATTACTGTTTTCTAATAACTGTATTCTATTACTGTTTTCTAATAACTGTATTCTAATAACTGTATTCTAATAACTGTATTCTATTACTGTTTTCTAATAACTGTATTCTAATAACTGAATTCTATTACTGTATTCTAATAACTGCATTCTAAAAACTGTATTCTACTACTGCATTCTAATAATTGTATTCTATTACTGTTTTCTAATAACTGTATTCTAATAACTGTATTCTATTACTGTTTTCTAATAACTGTATTCTATTACTGTTTTCTAATAACTGTATTCTATTACTGTTTTCTAATAACTGTATTCTAATAACTGAATTCTATTACTGTATTAGAATAACTGTATTCTATTACTGCATTCTAATAACTGTATTCTAATAACTGTATTCTATTACTGTTTTCTAATAACTGTATTATATTACTGTATTATAATAACTGTATTCTATTACTATTTTCTAATAACTGTATTCTAATAACTGAATTCTATTACTGTATTAGAATAACTGTATTCTATTACTGCATTCTAATAACTGTATTCTATTACTGTTTTTTAATAACTGTATTCTAATAACTGAATTCTATTACTGTATTCTAATAACTGCATTCTAAAAACTGTATTCTACTACTGCATTCTAATAATTGTATTCTATTACTGTTTTCTAATAACTGTATTCTAATAACTGTATTCTATTACTGTTTTCTAATAACTGTATTCTATTACTGTTTTCTAATAACTGTATTCTAATAACTGTATTCTATTACTGTTTTCTAATAACTGTATTCTATTACTGTATTCTAATAACTGTATTCTATTACTGTTTTCTAATAACTCTATTCTATTACTGCATTCTAATAACTGTATTCTATTACTGTTTTCTAATAACTGTATTCTAATAACTGAATTCTATTACTGTATTAGAATAACTGTATTCTAATAACTGTATTCTATTACTGCATTCTAATACAGTAACTGTATTCTATTACTGCATTCTAATAACTGTATTCTATTACTGCATTCCATGTTATAGATTAAATTCCATTTTCACGACTGGATCCATGGTTCCGTGTCGCTGATGTCATCGGGCCAGGTTGCCCGTGCCCAGCGTACCTCATGGAGGCCAGGTGTCTCATGGCCACGTCGAGGGCTTGGACAGATTCCAGCGGGACCTGCAGACGTCCACTGACCAGCGTCTCCTGCAACAGCCTCCACGACACCTTCGCCAGCCAACGAATGGACACTTTAAAGATGCGATCTTTCCCCTCTCCAGGGATGGTCACCTCGAAGTCAACCTACGACATGAAACCAGAGGCCCAGAATGAGAACAGTAGGAAATTACATTTATTACAAATAAAGGGATAGCTCTGTCAGTAATGACTCTCCCTCATGTCGTTCCAACCCTTTAAGACTTTCGTTCATCTTCAGAACACTAATTAAGATATTTTGGATTAAATCTGAGAGCTGTCTCACTCCTCCATAGGCTTCTGTTATTGAAACGTGCCAGCCCAGAAAAGTTAAAGACATTGTCAATCTTAAAGTTTATCAAGCGACGAGAAAACATTTTGTGCACAAAAAAAAAATAAAAGCACATAATGACAATGTTGCTAAAATTTCACCAGCATTCATCATGAATATACTTTGAATCGCATTCTCAACATCTCATCAATGAAATATTCTACATACCTTTTCGCTGCCTATAGGTAATGCTAAAACAGTGTAGATATTCTTCTTCCCATCGTACACTGGCTTTCGGTCACCAAAGAGCTGCGGCTTGAAATGTTGGACCATGTATTCCACAACCTCCCTGTGAAGAGTCACATTTAACTGTGATTATTCATATTTCATAAAACCTGATCAAAACATTATTTTGTGACAATGACCGGCTGAATGTACCAGATCCAACTCAATACAGAACCATTGCAAAATATATATACATTCAAATGTTTTGCATTTTAAAATATTTCTGAAAGAAGTCTCTTCTGCTCACCAAAGCTGCATTTGTATGATCAAAAACACAGTAAAACTGAAATACTATTGCAATTTAAAATAGCTGTTTTCTATGTTGAATATATTATAAACTGTAATTTACTCTTCATTTCAATTATTATCTTAATATCTTAAACATTTTTGATACATACATCTATTCAACAAGGAACAGAAAGTTCAAAAGAACAGCATTTATTTGAAATAGAAATATTTTGTAACATTAAAAATATCTTTACTGTCAATTATGTTATGATCAATTTAATGTCTTTGTTGAAGAAGAGAATTAAGAAAAAAAAAACTTTTTGACTCTAAACTTTTAAACTGTAGTATAAAATTTGATTTGCGTAATAATAATAATAATTAATTTAATTTTTTACAAATAAATTAATGTATTAAACCTAATTTGATTTACAAAAAAAAAAAATCAAATTGATTTAATTTTTTAAAAATCAAATCGCATTTAAATACAAATCAGTACTAACAGGCAATGTTGCCGTGTAAGTAAAATCATGCTTTTCAGATTATTTGCATCATTTTCTGCCTCAAAAAGTGTGTCCAAAAGCATTGAAGCGCCTCATGCTGACGTGCACTAGCTCGGCTCATTCGCGCTCATGCAGTGGTGACGGCACGTTTCACACTCATCCTCCTCACACTTGTGCAGACGCGTCAAGAATAAACCAGGCTTAAGTTGTATTTAACTCAGCAGGCAGAAGGCTTAGCTGAACTGAAATACAGTTACAAGTGAACAGGAATCAACCGTTGTCTGTGCACGTCTACGAGAACATTTTATCTTAAAACCTTTTCAGGGGAGAACAGGTTTCTTTCAACGTCACACTTTACATAAGCGAGGAAGTGAAACATTGCAGTGTTTAACTCCACTGATCCAAACGTTTTTAGAGAAACACTTATAGGGGAACCTTCATATTGAGGAAAGCTAACTTATTTTCACATTTTCAGTTACCATTTAAAAAATTGTTTTAATTTTTAATCATTTTGTTAGGTGCTTTGGTCATTTTTAGAAGTTGTATTTAATATTTCTATTTTCATTTATATTTACTTCAAAGCATTATTTTTCATGTCATACTACCTAATTCCAAATTCAATGTAGATAAATAACTATTATATTATAATTATTTTATCAAACTGATTATTTGTGATTAATCGCATCAAACAGTTTGTGAATATATATATATATTGCTGTCAAATTCTGATCGTGGTTTATAAATAATATGTGTATATTAGGGCCGGCATCGATTAATCGCATCCAAAATAAAAGTTTGTGTTTACAAAATATATGTGGGTGCACACTGTGTATAATTATATTGTATATATAAATACACACACATGCGTGTATATATTTAAGAATTTTTTTGCTTGTATATACTGTATATATATTTATACATCATTTATATTAAATATATAAATATTAATATTTGATATATTAATAACAATTTTTTCTTAAATATATACTTGGATGTGTATGAATTTTTTATATACAAAATAATTATACGCAGTACACACACACACATATATTATGTTAACACAAACTTTTATTTTGGATGCGATTAATCGTTGCCCAGCTCTAGTGTACATATTATTATATTTATATATATTTTATATATGTGAATGTGTGTGTATGTATATAACATACTGTATATATATTCCATAAATACTATATACACTGTATATATACACATACATTATATATTTACAAACTTTTAAGTTATATGCGATTATTTGTGATTAATCACATTGACAGCACTAATTCTTTTATATTATATTTAATAATATCAAAATTCCATGCTGGTGAAAATTCCTCAGGAAAGACAGTGGCCGTTTGAGGGGACGTGGCGTTTACCTGTTGACCCGCCGAGGACACTTATCAGGTTTGATGTCCACTTCATAGTGGAACACATCCATTTTTGGGATCTCCACCTCGAAGTAGTTGGCAAGCAGCTTGATGGGTTTGCCGACGGTGCCCATGCCCGGCCTGCGGGGCGCCTGGAACACCTGCTGCAGGGGCGGGGGGTACGGCCCGACGGGCACTGAGAGAGAGAGAGAGAGAGAGAGACATTTACATTTCAATCAGACGGCTCTACTTCTTAAACAAATTCACTAACTTAATAAAGAACTTTCCAGCCATGACTGAAATAGAACAGATCATACTAGGAGAGGGACAGACAGCAGCACTGGCTGACAGATACATGTGTGTGTGTGTGTGTGTGTGTGTGTGTGTGTGTGTGTGTGTGTGTGTGTGTGTGTGTGTGTGTGTGTGAGAGAGAGAGAGAGACAGCAGGTGAATGTGTGTGTAATGTATGTTTGGTGTCTGACTTCAGTGTGTTTCCCTACTGTCCACCCCAGTAACACTCAGTAATGTGTGTGTGTGTGTGTGTGTTAAAACTCTGTGGTGTCAAATGTTCACACATGTTCTAATTTGTTACTAGGGTTGGGTATCGAGAATCGAGTATCGATTGGAATCGGGACTAACTTTTCGTTTTTCCCGGAATCGTTCAAAAGTTAAAATTTCGATTCCTAGTTTCGATATTCACAGTCCGCCGAGCGGAAGAAGAAACCGCTGAACAACACCAACGAAGAAGCGTCTACCGGAAGTGTTGGCATAACCACGCGAGTCGAACATGAGTACCTTACGTCAGCGATCCAAAGTGTGGCTTCACTTTTCTAAAAATAACGAAATCTCGGCAAAATGCAAAATTTGTGACAAAAGGAGTATTTTTACAGAAGGAGTATTTCCTTCAGAAAGGCCATTGGTTAGCAAGGTTAGCTAAACTTTTTTGACCTTGCCTCTTAAAATAATCGGAATCGAGAATCGTTAGGAACCGGAATCGAAACAAGGAATCGGAATCGAGAATCGTTAGGAACCGGAATCGAAACAAGGAATCGGAATCGAGAATCGTTAGGAACCGGAATCGAAACAAGGAATCGGAATCAGAATCGTTAGGAACCGGAATCGAAACAAGGAATCGGAATCAGAATCATTAGGAACCGGAATCGAAACAAGGAATCGGAATCGGAATCGAGAATCGTTAGGAACCGGAATCGAAACAAGGAATCGGAATCGAGAATTGTTAGGAACCGAATCGAAACAAGGAATCGGAATCAGAATCGTTAGGAACCGGAATCGAAACAAGGAATCGGAATCAGAATCATAAGGAACCGGAATCGAAACAAGGAATCGGAATCGAGAATCGTTAGGAACCGGAATCGAAATCGAGAATCGTTAGGAACCGGAATCGAAACAAGGAATCGGAATCAGAATCGTTAGGAACCGGAATCGAAACAAGGAATCGGAATCAGAATCGTTAGGAACCGGAATCGAAACAAGGAATCGGAATCAGAATCATTAGGAACCGGAATCGAAACAAGGAATCGGAATCGGAATCGAGAATCGTTAGGAACCGGAATCGAAACAAGGAATCGGAATCGAGAATCGTTAGGAACCGGAATCGAAACAAGGAATCGGAATCAGAATCGTTAGGAACCGGAATCGAAACAAGGAATCGGAATCAGAATCATTAGGAACCGGAATCGAAACAAGGAATCGGAATCGGAATCGAGAATCGTTAGGAACCGGAATCGAAACAAGGAATCGGAATCAGAATTGTTAGGAACCGGAATCGAAACAAGGAATCGGAATCAGAATCGTTCAAATTCAAACGAAACCCAACCCTATTTGTTACACTGTTCATTTAAACTTAGGTTATGTTATAATATTTTCTTATTTTTTATGTCTCTATTATTGTTCTATGTATTCCAAGCTTAGGTAATATTGAATTATTTACAGAGAGAGAGAGAGAGAGAGAGAGAGAGAGAGTCATTAAGCAGATAGAAGGTTATAAGAGCGGGATACGTTGAAAGGAGGGAGTTCAGGAGGAGTTTGGGGGATTATGGGACTAGAAATATGGTGACAGGAGTGTGTATGGAAACGGGACAAAAGCAGAGGAAAGGAACAAAGAGGATGGTGACTAAAACAGGAAGGGGGTGGGAAGGCAATATGAGGGAAAAAACTAATAAAAGAAAGTTGGGAGGATGGGGTAAAAGTAAACTTAAGAGTGAACTTAATACAAGTGCTGCAATCCACAGAAATCTGGACAATTATTACTCATTCAATAATCAGAGAACGTTTTCCAGGACTTTCACACCTTGTCCTACAAACCATGTCCACAATCGTGAACAAAAACAAAAACCACAATCGTGTTAGAAGTGTATATCGCAATATATTTTTACCAAAGGATTTGATCACTGATAAGCACATTTTAAATCATTATGAAACTACTATTCAAACTACTATTGTAAAACTTTAACTTCTGATTGTATGAGATTGTAAATAAGCTGATACACAAATAGATGTGGATCATAGACGCACATCGGATTAATACTACAGGTGAAACTCGAAAAATTTGAATATCGTGCAAAAGTTCATTTATTTCAGTAATCCTTCAACTTAAAAGTTGAAGCAAATCTATTATATAGACTCATTACGTGCAAAGTGAGATATTTCAAGCCTCTATTTGTAATAATTTTGATGGCTTTAAACGACACCAGGCGATGAATAAGGGTCTTATCTAGCGAAACGAGCGGTCATTTCAAAAATTAATAAAAACGTTAAAGTTTTATAAGCACAAATACTCGCCTTGCTCTGTTCTGTGATGAGCGTTTGTGACTCTCCAATTCGAACTCGTTCATCAAAACGAACGAATCTTTTTTCGAGTCATGACACGAAGGGTCCAGATAAGACCATTATTCATCGTCTGGTGTCGTTTAAAGTCTTTGAAGCTGCACTGAAACTCTCATTTGGACCTTGAACCGTTTGGACCCCATTGAAGTCCATTATATGGAGAAAATCCTGGAATGTTTTCATCAAAAACTTTCATTTCTTTTCGAAACTACAAATTACAAAAACTGCTTAGGTCTGTGCACTGCAGATATGGTAACTTTTCAAGCATTTCAATGTTTGATTTTAAAATTGGCATGTCTTCATGTTAAGATACTTTCATCTACCCCATGTTGAGACTAGGGCTGTGAAACAATTAATCGCGATTATATTTATGTATAATATTAATGTTGTATAAATATATATAAAGTACATGCAAATATTTCTTAAATATATACATGCATGCGTGTGTATTTATATATATATTAGGGCTGTCAAGCGATTAATCGTGATTAATCGCATCCAAAATAAAAATTTGTGCTTACATAATATATGTGGGTGCACTGTGTATAATTATTTTGTATATATATAAAAATAAAAAAAACACACACACATGCATGTATATTTAAGAAAAAATTATTATTTATATATCAAATATTTATATTTACATATAATATAAATTATATATAAATCTTTATACAGTATATACATGAAAATATTTCTTAAATATATACAAGCATATGTGTGTATTTATATATATAAAATAATTATACACAGTGCACCCACATATAATATATAAACACAAACTTTTATTTTGGATGCGATTAATCGTTTGACAGCCCTAATATATATATAAAATAATTATACACACACATATATTATGTAAACACAAACTTTTATTTTGGATGCGATTAATCGCGATTAATCGTTTCACAGACAGACAATAATGAGTCCTTCTATAGCTTGACAAAACTTTGATCTATTTGAGCACATCGACCAACTCGACAACTCAACCAATGGCAGCGAAGGGAATATTTGGGAAACCCGGCTGCTTAAAAACAGCTCAGTTTGGTGATGTTGTGTACTTGCGTATGATGATGATAAACAGTTTTGTTAGCAAGTCCAAATCTGCATCCCGAAAACAAAAATAGCACTAGTCTAATGAGTGGACGCCTTTAACCTCTCTGTCCATGACGAACACTCCCTCCATCATAACAAAGACCCCAGCTGCCCTCCTCTTCATACCGGGGGGAAGGAGAGGAGAGGAGCCACATCAGCACACACAAACACAGGGGCCCCAAAACATTCCCAGCCTCACCATAGCAACAGAGGAGCAACACACATTGTCATGGAGATCAGGAGACCCAGGGATACGTGGGGGTTTGGGGAGAGCCGGACCATAGTGTCAGCGAGCACCTCAACATTACACCGAGACAAGGTCATCAATCTTATCCCACACGGCCGACTTTATAGCTCGCCTATGATTTAAGAGCGCCTCGGAAAACTCTTTTTCTTGGTGAGGAGGATATATACTCTGCTAAAGTCTTGATCAATGTTGCTGAGCGTGTGTTCCTACACCAGAGCGAACGCAAGCAGCAGCAGATGGCTAGAAACACAGCCAGATCTCAAGAAACCACTAAACGATGGCAGGGATGGATATACTGTATATATATATTGGATGGATGGATGGATGGATGGATGGATGGATGGATGGATGGATGGATGGATGGATGGATGGATGGATGGATGGATGGATGGATGGATGGATGGATGGATGGATGGATGGATGGATGGATGGATGGATGGATGGATGGATGGATGGATGGATGGATGGATGGATGGATGGATGGATGGATGGATGGATGGATGGATGGATGGATGGATGGATGGATGGATGGATGGATGGATGGATGGATGGATGGATGGATGGATGGATGGATGGATGGATGGATGGATGGATGGATGGATGGATGGATGGATGGATGGATGGATGGATGGATGGATGGATGGATGGATGGATGGATGGATGGATGGATGGATGGATGGATGGATGGATGGATGGATGGATGGATGGATGGATGGATGGATGGATGGATGGATGGATGGATGGATGGATGGATGGATGGATGGATGGATGGATGGATGGATGGATGGATGGATGGATGGATGGATGGATGGATGGATGGATGGATGGATGGATGGATGGATGGATGGATGGATGGATGGATGGATGGATGGATGGATGGATGGATGGATGGATGGATGGATGGATGGATGGATGGATGGATGGATGGATGGATGGATGGATGGATGGATGGATGGATGGATGGATGGATGGATGGATGGATGGATGGATGGATGGATGGATGGATGGATGGATGGATGGATGGATGGATGGATGGATGGATGGATGGATGGATGGATGGATGGATGGATGGATGGATGGATGGATGGATGGATGGATGGATGGATGGATGGATGGATAGATAGATAGATAGATAGATAGATAGATAGATAGATAGATAGATAGATAGATAGATAGATAGATAGATAGATAGATAGATAGATAGATAGATAGATAGATAGATAGATAGATAGATAGATAGAAAAACTTTGTTGAACTTTTAATTCATTTCTGTGCATCAGTTCACTTCAATGAATCAAAACTCTTGATTCACCACTTATTGTGTTTCGGTGTGGCATTTTTTATTTACCAATTTATTTTATTTATTTTTTTTACAAAATGTTAAAGCAGTGATAAATAAATGATGGTTCTTCTCACTGAAAAATAAACTTCTTAAAGCCATTTCAGAGCAAATACATGAATCTAAAGATGGCAACACTTTACCATACGTTCCCGTTAGTTAATGCATCAACTCAAGTCTGTCACAGTTTTTGTTCATTTTTGTTGTTAGTTCATGTTGTCACAGGTCTACAAAATAATTAGGGCTGTCAAACGATTAATCGCATCCAAAATAAAAGTTTGTGTTTACTGTGTATAATTATTCTACATATAAAAACACACATATGCTTGTATATATTTAAGACATATTTTCATGTACTGTATATAGATTATATATAAATATAAATATTTTATATATAAATAATATTTTTCCTAAATATATATACTAAATAATTATACACAGTGCACCCACATATATTATGTAAACACAAACTTTTATTTTGGATGCGATTAATCGTTTGACAGCCCTAAAAATAATACAAACAGATATAGCATTTGACTTTAATAATGCATTACATAAAGATTGCTTAGTTCATGTTGACCAATGGAACGCCATTGTAAAGTGTTCCCATATATTGAATATTGTTAAAAGGTATAAAAAGACATTTGGCCATGGCAAAGAAAGCAGATGTGAGCAGAAGCGTGACAGAGAAACAGAAGCAAGTGTTTTGGCCTGGGTTAGCGCTGGAGTCCCAGATGTCCTGTTGTTGAGGGCTCAAGACCATAATGCACTTGAGTTGTAAGACACACAGAGACGCCACCTGGCCAGTGACCCTTCCCCTGCCGCTCATTAATAAAGGCCACTCTCAGTGTCAGAAAAACGACAAAATCAAGATATTTTGGTCTTGAAATCTGGGCTTTTCAATGGCTGGAGCCATTATACAAGACCAAAGCGAGTTACAGAAAAGATATTGCAATGACAAAAGATAATTCATTGTAAAGGATAAAACTAATTTGTTTCACTATAATAAAGTGTCCAAACTCTCCAGCCCAGAGGTCAGACTAAAGATAGTCCCACACTATTGGTTTGTCAATGCAACAGTGTTGTGTGGTCATCATGTTGTATTTACGATTTGAACGCGCCACCACAAAGACGTAAATACGAGTGAGAAGCTCTGGATTTTCTTTACGCCCATGAGTTGTGGGTGTGTCAGAGAGAAAAATGACGGAAATCCACTATACTTCATATTATTAGTAGGGCTGTACAAAAATTAATTGCGATTAATCGCATCCAAAATAAAAGTCTGTGTTTACATAATATATTTGTGTGTGCTGTATATAATTATTTTGTAGATATAAATACCTATGCATGCATGTATATATTTAAGAATTATTTGCGCTTAAATTCTGTATATATATATATATATATATATAAATACATATTCATATATAAAATATTTATATTTATATAATATAGATCAACACATTTTCTTAAATAAGTGTGTGCATTTATATATATACAAAATAATTATATACAGCACACACAAATATATTATGTAAACACAGACTTTTATTTTGGATGCTCTGACGAAAGTGACTTGAACGCACCTGATGTTGTAAACACGACTTCCCAACTCTAAAATACGAACTTCCTGAGAGGACTTGAACGGACCATGAAGATAAAAAGCAATGCTCTAAAAGTGTCACAAAGTTGCACTGTTTCAACATTCAAATGCCTCTGTATAATAAACTGGGCTAGAAGTATGCATTTCAACACAGACTCGGCTTTAATGCATTACATACCGCAAAAAATGGCAGGGAAAATCAATCAATCAAGCAATTAAATCCGTTCCTGAAAATAATATTTCAAATTTATAATAATAATTAAAAAAAAAAAAAGTTCATTTGTAGGCTACATGCTGCCAGGCTCAGATTTAAGAGAGTGTGAACTCTTTAACATAAAGAACTGTAAAAAGAAACCACAACTATGACCTAAAAGTTGTTTTAATTAGGATTTTACAGTTTCCTTACATTTCCTAATTTTCCACATTCACCAGAAACTCGGAACTAAAACACCTGTCTTTACACATCCAATGCAACATCTTGTGAGTAAAAGTGATAACTTCCTTCATCTGCATTTAAAGATACACTTCTCTGAAACGGTGATGTTTCTGAAAACAAATAATCAAATCATATTCCTAAAACCTATGCAGCTACCAGGCAGCTTTTACCCCCCTAATATAAATCATTTATCTGGTCATATGCCGTACAGTCTTGTGGATTTACACTGTTAATGGAAGTGAAATTGGTAACATTGGCCTGAGCCACATTTTAGCAGGATCAATAAAGAGCCCTGGGGGTCACTTTCCCCTTCTGCATCTGCTGAAGGCGGGCTTCAACCTCATGTCTTCCCACGACCCCTGACCTGGGACAATCTCTCATCATCTTCCCCATATATGCACAGATCAGTTATCCTACACTGCAACAAATACATTCATTTCCATGCACATTCTAAATGGAACGTTACAATGTATCATTCCATAAGGAAACAATGTGGAATGCATCATTATAGAGTGATACAATCTGTATCACGGGTAAACACTGTATCATTTTAAAAGCTTCACAAACAACTTAAAAGATCCGAACCCACCAGCGCCAGATGGTCCCGGCTCCATCCCATCCACTGAGCCACAAAGGGTTCACCAAAGTCCCGATGCCCAATCTCCACGGCGCCCGGCCCTTCAGGCTGGAAGCGTCCCCGACTTCCAGCCTCTTCCCTGGGCGAGAGGGATCGTCTCCTCCGCCGCTGCTGCTGGAGCCCCAAACCCGCAGGAGTTGAGAGAGAAACAAAAGCTCCTTAGTTCGGATCCAGAATGAGCCTCTCCTCCTCCGGGCTCTGTCCGTCCGTGGCTGGCTGGTGCTGGTGCGGGTCGGGCTGCTCTGCTTCGGGGTGTTGTTCCTCCTGTTCACCGTTCAAGCTGGATCCACCAGCGGAACAAAAACGCTCGCCCCGTCCGTCCGTCCGTCACCCCCCCACACACAGCCCGAGAGCCCGTTCCTCTTCTTCTTCTTCTTCTTCTCCTTCTTCTCCTCCTACTGCTGAGACTCTTGGCTGTCTGCTGGTCTGTTTTGTGTTCGCCCTCTAGTGTACGCTTCCCAATCCCAAAAAAACGAATACTGCAGGTTACTACAGTACATCACTATACACTACATACTGGCACCCTTTTATTTAGGGTCCCCATGAAATCAAAATGGAAGTTTTTTGGTTTTTAGTATGAATATGTAAGCTTTACTGTTATTTATAAGTCAATGTGCTTCAAAACAATGACAGAATTCGAATTAATGGAGTAGTTCACTTTAAAAAAAACTATAGCTGATAATTTCCTCACCCCCATGTCATCCAAGATGTCCATGTCTTTCTTTCTTCAGTCGAAAAGAAATTAAGTTTTTTGACGAAAACATTCCAGGATTTTTCTCCATATAATGGACTTCAATGGGAACCAAACGGTTCAAGGTCCAAAAGAGAGTTTCAGTGCAAACTACAAACTGTGCAAAGGGCTTTAAACAATTCCAGACGATGAATAAGGGTCTTATGAAGCGAAACGATCGCTCATTTAAAATAAATAACAAAGTTTAAGTTTTATAAGCTCAAATGCTCGCCTTGCTCTTTGTGTCTTTTGGTTCATTCAAAGAACGAAATTAACAAGTTTACTCTGGAAAAGATTCGTTCATTTTATGAACCGAAATTATGACTGAAATTCATAATTATGACATGAAGAGTTAAAATTATGGTATAAAGAGTAAAAATCTTTTGATAATAATTATGGCTTATTTTACTTTATCTCATATTTCAACATTTACGTCATAATTATGACATTAAAAAGTCAAAACTATTACTTAGTATGTCATGCTTATGACTTAGTTTATCATCATTTTGACTTTTTAAATTGTTACTTTTTAAGTCAGTTTCTGACTAATTGTCATAATTTCTACTTTGTCATAATTATGATTTAGCTGCAATGCATGATTTTTTTTTCTCTTGTGTGGCACGGTGGCAGAAAGGGGCTACCATATGCAAGATGAACCTCAACAATAGTTTCATTTTTAACATTAGTAATTTGTCAAAATATTAGACAATAGTCTACATTTAGATAATTTGTCACAACATATTTTAGTTTAATTGTCCCCCACTAATAGTACGGAATTATTTTAAAATAAGTAAATAAATAACAAATAAATAAATAAATGTAACGCATTTTCATACACAAAAATATATAACATTTATTCGATCATTTCTTCTTGCCCCCTCCACTGATTTTTACCTCATTGTTGACCTCTTTTTTAATCTCTTTTTTGACACTTATCTGGAAACCTTCCTCCAAAGCTATAACAGCTATTTAAATGGGCTTTTTTGACATACATATGTTATGTATGTTTATAGTAGCCTTTGTGTTTTGTTTTCTATGGTTTTCTAACACTTTATGCATTTAATAAAAAGTATTTGAAAATTATGCAACAAAAAAGATAAGTCGAATGTATTTTATTTGTATTATTGCAACGTTTTAATGGACGCAAAAATAGTTTATTGTGCTGGGACGTTTTGTTTTGAATTGGTCGAATTATAAGAATTTTATTTTGGCGTTTGCTTTGCTGTCGCGTTTCTCTGGCGTCACTTCCTGTCAGTGGAAAAAAGACGTCATCTTACAGGCTGTGAGTTGGAGCTTTTCGATTTCTTTAAAATCAGCGAATTAACGCTTTAAATCAAGTTGATTTCGCATTCTTTGAATGAAAGCCTACTTTTAATGAAAGTGATGACAGTGACATGCTAATTTAACATCGTAATGACGTGATATTTAGGGTAGTTAGCGCGCTGTGGTCTCTATAAATCCAGGAATCAGTTATAAATCATAATAATAATATTGATACGTTTCATTCTGTTGATTTTAATGAGTCGCGATTTACTGATATAGTTAAATGTGTTATTGTTTTCAGATTGGCAATGTTTTTTGGAGAAAACGTTTTTCTATTGTGTGCAATATATTTCTTATTCATCATGTTGACAAATATGGCAGATATTTTAAAACATTATAAATCCTATGAGGAACATTTCAGAAATAGAGACAGTTGTTTATGTCAGCAAATAAGTGTTTGCATTGTCTATCTAGCACACTTGCTTCTACAGATATCAACATAATTTATATTTAATCAGATTAAGCTAGATTTGTACAATTGCAGTGCATAAGTAAGTTTGATTATAATAAGTTCCTGTTTATGGCTTATGCAAAAGATGGGTTTTTCACTCTTTCTTTTGGTCTTGTTTGGTCTTCCTCTATTGTACATATTGTGACAGGAACTCTCTTCTTTTTTGTTCACAGAAACAACTGCAATGTCGTGGATTCGAGAGCGGGAGTTATCCATTATAGAAAGACTCACTGCCAACATCCTGAGGGTGTGTATCAGAGAACTGGAGAAGTCTAGAGAAAAACTGTACAAAAATGAAAATAAAAAAAAATTATATATAGTGAGTAGAACAATATATTATAATGTAATTTAATAGAAACTAATTTTAGATTTATAATATATAATTTTCAGTGTCTATATCTGGTGTTTATTAAATATAGATGTCTTTTAAATATTAAGATGGGGTCCCTCACATGAGGATGATCATATTTGCAGGTCTGGCATCTTAGGGTGTGTATGGTTAGATTAAAGAAGCGAATCCTGGTGTGATTGCTCTGTTAGTGCGGGTTCATTTGAATAAGTGTGAACACTGCCATCTGAACCCTGGTGACACCAAACACACGGACCGAGACATTGAAAAGATGCATCTTTCTTTAGGTTCGTTGTTAAAATGCCAATGTCAACGCTAAGTGGACCAGGACTATATGTTTTGTTTTCTTGGCCTGTACAATGAATTGAACTGAAATAATCATCTAATACCCTAATGACCCTTAACTCTTTTTATTTCTTAGGCAGGGCCCATGCCTAAACATGTGGCCTTTATCATGGACGGTAATAGGCGTTACGCCCAGAAGACGCATGTGGAGCGGCAGGAGGGCCACTCACAGGGCTTTGAAAAACTGGCGGAGGTAAGTGTGCAGATACTGATATACAAACTAGAGGGATTTATTAGGCAATATTTGGCCATTTTGACTGCTTGAGCGATTAAAAGACATCTTACCTCCCCTTTCTGTCAACTATTATTTTATTTTTTTTTTAATGATTACTTCACCAAGAATCAAAAAATCTCTGCAATTCTCCATCTGTGATCCTTGAAGAGTCTTTGGCCACTCAAAGTTTCACCCTCACTGTCCATTAACACAATATTGACACACATCCTCTTCCTGGCAGATTCGTAACATCTTTAGTTGATTATAACTTCTTAATTATTGCCCTGATGGTCAGTTCTTTAGCTGTTTTCGTACTGCCACTTTGTATATTGTGAAGCTCAGCAATCTTTTGATGCACATCAGAACTATATTCTCTGGTTTTACTTAAGGGAATTTGGCCTTTGTTGTTCCTCATATTTAAATTCCTGTGAAACAAGAAGTCATAGCTGGACAATTTCATGTTCCTGGTCACCCTGGTATGCTTAAAAATGTAAATATTAATGGGAATGTACTTCAGAGATATGTTTCTCCTAAAAAAATTCTAGGGGTGTCAACAATTATGGCCAGCGTGTTTTGGAGAAAAACATTTATTTCATAATGTGATTCCCATCCGACTTTCAGTTTTTTTTTACTTCAATGAAAGGTTAGAATTTTGCCATTTTTTTAAATGGAAGATCAAAAGGATAAACAATGCGGATTTATTTTTTACAGCCAGTTTTTATCATATTTACCAGGGGTGCCATCAATTTAGACACACACATGCCTGTATATATTTAAGAAATATTTTCATGTATATAGATTTATTTATAATTTATATTGTAAATAAATAATATTTTTTCTTAAATATACATGCATGTGTTTGTATTTATATATACAAAATAATTATACACAGTGCACCCACATATATTATGTAAAAACAAACTTTTATTTTGGATGCGATTAATCGTTTGACAGCCCTAGTAAAAACAAAACAAACTTGGATCCTTTATATATCGCTCTCAGTTTGATATCTTGTGTTCTTTTTCTCTTAATATGCATTGTATACACTCATAGACGCTCCGCTGGTGCCTGAACCTGGGTATTCATGAGGTGACCGTATATGCATTCAGCATTGAGAACTTCAAGCGTGCCAAACAAGAGGTGGATGGCTTGATGGAGCTGGCCAGACAGAAGTTCAGCCGCTTGCTGGAAGAGCAGTAAGTTACTCCTGCGCGAGATCTATTCTTCTCTAGGCTGGATAAATACAATCGGTTCAATGCATACGTCATTTCTAGGGAGAATCTCGAGAAGCATGGTGTGTGTATTCGTGTGCTGGGAGACCTGACTCTACTACCTGAAGATCTGCAGCAGGCTATTGCCAAATCTGTGGTGTCAACTAGAGCACACAACAAGTAAGCACTGCATGGTATTTGCTTTTTATTGCAGGGAAGCTTTCCTTATAGCTTTTGACCTTCTCCCATCGCTCGTCTCCAATAAGTGCAATGACGCTTTAAAGGGTTAGTTCACTCAAAAATAAAAAATGATGTCATTAAAGGGTTAGTTCACCCAAAAATGAAAATTCTGTCAGTATTTACTCACCCTCATGTTGTTCCAACCCTGTAAGACCTTCGTTCATCTTCGGAACACAAATTAAGATATTAAGATCGCGCCTGCATACTAGTCCATAGGCTTCTTGAGGGAATGACTCTTGCTGACATCGAAAAGTCATCGTTAAAATATTTCAAGTGACTACAGGGGCTCAATCTTAAGTTTATCAAACGACGAGAATACTTTTGTGCGCAAAAAACAACAAAAATAACAACTTTATTTCAACTATTCGTTTATTTCTCCCTCTGCCCGTCTTCAGTGACGCTGATGACGTGATGCATGCGTCAGGGTACAAAGTCATTTGCGCTGAGTTCAAGATATAGGGCTCATTGTATATTTAAAGGGCCCATTTTATAGATATAGGGCCCATTGTGTATATATAGGGGCCATTTTATAGATATAGGGCCCATTGTGTATATATAGGGTCCATTTTATAGATATAGGGCCCATTGTGTATATATAGGGCCCAGTTTATAGATATAGGGCCCATTGTGTATATATAGGGGCCATTTTATAGATATAGGGCCCATTGTGTATATATAGGGGCCATTTTATAGATATAGGGCCCATTGTGTGTATATAGGGCCCATTTTATAGATATAGGGCCCATTGTGTATATATAGGGCCCATTTTATAGATATATGGCCCATTGTGTATATATAGGGCCCATTTTATAGCTATAGGGCCCATTGTATATATATAGGGCCCATTTTATAGATATAGGGCCCATTGTGTATATATAGGGCCCATTTTATAGATATAGGGCCCATTGTGTATATATAGGGGCCATTTTATAGATATAGGGCCCATTGTGTATATATAGGGCCCATTTTATAGATATAGGGCCCATTGTGTATATATAGGGCCCATTTTATAGATATAGGGCCCATTGTGTATATATAGGGCCCATTTTATAGATATAGGGCCCATTGTGTATATATAGGGCCCATTTTATAGATATAGGGCCCATTTTATAGATATAGGGCCCATTGTGTATATATAGGGCCCATTTTATAGATATAGGGCCCATTTTGTGTATCTGATGCATTTGCTGAAGTTCATTCATCTCATCTGTTGCTGACGGGGCTCTGTTCGATTATACAGGTGTTTTCTGAATGTGTGCTTTGCGTACACCTCAAGACACGAAATCGCAAATGCTGTGAAGGAAATGGCATGGGGAGTGGAGCAGGGCCTGATCAAATCCAGGTAAACTATGCTTTTCACTGAAATAAGTGCGAGGAAACAATAACATCAGTTTCATTGCTGTTCGTAATTGTTTTGTTCTCTCTGTGATTCGTCAGTGATGTGTCCGAGGTGCTTCTCAGCGAGTGTCTGTATAGCCGTCATTCTCCAGACCCCGATCTGCTCATCCGTACGTCTGGAGAAGTGCGCCTCAGTGACTTCCTACTGTGGCAGGTAATGGAGATTGACGTTAGTCGATGCTTTGCACAAACACACGAGATTTGAGTTCAGCTGCTATTCATAGTTTCATAGATTCACAATCTTGATTCAATCACAGTGGTTCTTTCCAGAGGTGTTTGGGCATCGAAAAAGTGTGCCAGTATTTTAATTATCTTTCAAATACTGTTGTTTTCACAAAAATTGACTTTACCTGTGGTATAGAGTCATTCGCAAACTACACACGCAATAAAGAGCTGCTTTGTCGATGACAAATGATAGAAGACATGGAAACACTTTACAATAAGGTTCATTAGTTTAAGTATTAAAGGAGTAGTTCACTTTTAAAAAAACGTTTGCTGATAATTTACTCACCCCCATGTCATCCGAGACATCCACATCATTCTTTCTTCAGTCGAAAAGAAATGAAGGTTTTTGATGAAAACATTCAGGATTTTTCTCCATATAATGGACTTCAATGGGGTCCAAACGGTCCAAGGTCCAAATGGGAGTTTCAGTGCAGCTTCAAACGACACCAGACGATGAATAAGGGTCTTATCTTGTGCGTGAACTGTCCTAATGAATCAAAATTGTTCACGATTATGTTTAGCAAACCCGTTTGACAGATTAGATGAGAATGTTTCCCTAATTCTGATTATAAACAGCTGATAGAAAACACTGAAATATTATCAGAGATTGCTGTTATTATTCAGAGATTATCTGAAATATTATCAGAAATGATACTTTGGTGTTTCTCAAAGGCTTTATCATGGTGACTAGCGATGCCCCTTGTTCTTTTTACCTTTGAGTATGATGAAGTAGGGCTGTTAAGAGCTGAGTAATTCCCATCTCTGCTTTTTGCAAATGAGATTTCCCTTCAAAACACACTGATGGCACTGAAGGTCTGGCACCGGTCTCATGGATCGTCCATTGTGCATCAAGCTCATATTGTTCTTAATATTCACCTTCCCCCGCCACTTTGAAGTGATGAATGTTTTTCATATTTCTTCGTAATCTTATTCTCCACAGACCTCATATTCGTGTCTAGTGTTCCAGTCGGTCTTGTGGCCAGAATACTCTTTCTGGAATCTGTGTGAAGCTGTTTTGCAGTACCAGCTGAGTCATCGATCTCTCAAGGTATGCTAGATCTATGTTTTTATGGCGATATAGATTACTTCGGTAACTGCTCTTTTGTCACCTAGAAACATTGGGTCTCATTCACAAAGTGTGCATACACACTAATTTATGAGTGAAATCCGGGGACTAATGTTTTATGATTCACCATCCAATAACTGTAACATTAGAATTTATTCCAAATTTAAAGGAGTAGTTCACTTTAAAAAAAAAAAAAAAAAACTTTTTTTTAATTTACTCACCCCCATGTCATCCAAGATGTCCATGTCTTTCTTTCTTCAGTCGAAAAGAAATTAAGGTTTTTGATGAAAACATTCCAGGATTTTTCTCCATATAATGGACTTCAATGGGGTCCAAATGAGAGTTTCAGTGCAGCTTCAAAGGGTTTTAAAGGACACCAGATGATGAATAAGGGTCTTATCTAGCGAAACGAGCGGTCACTTTAAAAAATAATTAACAAAGTTTAAGTTTTATAAGCACTTTATGGGCGGGCGGTCGTTCATTTAAAATCATCTACATGTATTAACATTTGAACAAGGTTAATAACAAATTCAAATGCATGTGTTGTGAATTATGCAGACTTTATTTTGTGAGAAGTTCTCCTGTGCATACAAATAAGAAATAATCCACGCAATTATTACGATAATTGAATGGACCATTCATGTATTTAACCATTGTTAGTTCATGCTAGCAATTGCATTAGCCAATGCTAACATACAGAACCTTAAAAACATTTCTTGTAAAACTTTACAATAAGGTTTCATTTGTTTATATTAGGACCTTTTTTTAATTTTTAAACAAACAACTTTCTATGATTACGAGCCTTTTGACCAGCATGAAGACACAGGATATTGTATTACAGCATGTGCTGTTGTTGCTTGTGGTTTTGTAAACGATAACTATGAACGGTTTCCTGATAACATGATTCTAGGAAGTGCAGAAAAGTTGAGTAAGGATGCAAAGGCATAAATTTGATTTATGTTACACGTGCATATTCACATTTGCTGCTCATATTTCGTGTTGTAGAAAGCTCAGGAGCTGCACAGAGAAAGCCAAGCGCTTCAGCAGATGGAAGCAGATCGCACCTGTGTGACTGAGATCCTGCAGCATCGTGGGAATGGAAAGCCCATGGACGGCCAGAGTCGACAGACCGCTCTGCTGAACTACACCGCCAGCCGAGAGGAGAGGGTCCGCTGCTTTCTGAACGCCCTTCAGCACAAGAGAGACACTTTCTTCAATGATTTATGCAGCCAGGCTGTCGTGGCTTAGCACTGAACTTTTTTTATTTACTGTCATATTTCATCTGTAAAGTCATCTGTAAATACTTCACATCTGGAAGGATGTTTCACCCCGTTTTATGGGGAAGTGGCTATGTATGTTTGTCAATAGAATTTATCTGAAATCTTAAAATAAATTCACTTTGATTGACCACAGGGGCTTCTTTTATGGACTAGAAAAATACACTGCCGTTCAAAAGTTTGGCATCGGTAAGGTTTTTAAAAGAAGTCTCTTCTGTTGTTCACCAAGGGACACAGGAAAACTAATATTGTAAAATATTATTACAATGTGAAAAGTTTTCTGTTTGAATATTTTTTTAAATGTATTGTATTCCTGTCTTACTACATTACTCCAGTCTTCAGTGTCACATGATCCTTCAGAAATTCACTATGCTCAAGAAACATTTCTGATTATTATCAGTGTGTAGAATTGTTTTTCAGGATTCTTTGATGAACAGAAAGTTCAAAAGAACAGCATTTGTTTTAAATAGAATCTTTTGTAACACCATAAATGTCTTTACTGTCGCTTTTGATCAATTTAATGCATCTTTGCTGAATAAACATTAATTAATTCAAAAAACTAAATTTGTACTGACCCCAAACTTTTGAACGGAAGGGTATAATGTTACAAAATATTCTATTTTCAAATAAATGCTGTTGTTTTGAACTTTCTGTTCATCAAAGAATCCTGAAAAACAATTATACAAATTGATAATTATCAGAAATGTTTCTTGAGCAGCAAATCATCATATTAGAGTGATTTCTGAAGGATCATGTGCCACTCAAAACTGAAGGAATGATGCTGAATATTTACCTTTGATCACAGGAATAAATAATATTTTACAATATACTCAAAAAGACAAAAGTTTTCACGATATTATTTTTTTAATCAAATGAATGCAGTCTTGGTGTGCATAGAGACGTTAAAAAACATTACGTGCCCAAACTTTTGAACGGCACTATATATAGAAATGTAATTGTGTGTATATGTAATGTAAATGTAAACGAGTAAGTTATGACTAGCAGTTTTTCCCTCTGTTTTCGGTTTTTAAATTTCCGGTGTAATTCCCACTGTGTCCAGCAGAGGCGCCGTTCTCCCCAGCAGCATTATCATCATCAGTATGAGCTCTGAAACCTGAGCGGGGAATTCTGTCATTGTTGCTTTAAGAGATAAGCGACGCCCAACGATACGTGATAGTTCTAGCAGCCAATCGCTGAGCAGAATATGCTAAATCTGGTTTAAACCGGTTTCTATCTTAAATTTCAATATAAAAACTTAATAAAACATATAGCAGCCGTTATTGTATTTTACACGAGACGCGGTGAGGCGTGCACGGTTCCGTTGCTCACGAGCACATTATTTTGACAAATATTCCGATTTTTTAGATTTTTTCGGTGTTTTTCTGCAGTCAAGATGCCCAAAAGAAAGGTAAGGATGCACTGCAATATTTTTAGTTTCTGAAAAAAATCACGATTTTTTGTTATTTTGTACATACGTGCCTATATTTCTATATTTTTTTTTGTTGCTGTTGTGGGCTGTGATCTTGTAGTTGTTTTATAATGGCGGACAGTCGATTTTACATATTCACTGTCAGGCTGTCAGTCTTGCCGCGCAGTGACGAAAACATGACCAAAACACTCGACGTTTAACTTAAAACACACCAGACGGGCATTTTAAAAACGACAAATACTGTAGCCTGTATATGTGCATGATTATTTCTAGAATTATCCGAGCAAAACAAATCCTGGAAGATCCGCCTAATCACTTGATAATGTAAATGGAGGGAACTTGCATGTCTTATGATGGTGATCGAACTCCCACTGGCAACTATTAACGTTACCAGCATTACATAGCATATGCCTTTATATTAACTAAGATATTAGCATTAGATATTAGCTAGCAGATAAGTGATCGTGTGGGAATTTTACACGAAAAATGGCTCTCATTTAATATTTTGCGTTGATGAATGAGGTTGCGAACGTGTATTTTCGGTCCTCTCGTCGATTTTATTAAACATAATATGTATTGTACTGTTCTTTCATGTCATTTAAGCTGCTCCTGTCATTGTTGATGTGCACAACGCCTACCCGAGAAACGTCAAGCTGCCATCTTTACAGCACCTGTGTCTTTAGAAGACGGTGCCTTGCTAGTTATACGCGTTTTGACCGTAAATGTAATTTTTTACATGTGACTTAAGTATTCAATGTGCTTTTGTGCGAGTTACAGTGTTTTCGTGACGAAAACAAAGGAACTATACACTGAGAGTCGCCCCTCAGTCGTTTAAAAGGCGCGTAGTGATGCGGCCAAACAAAAGGAAGCCGTCTTGCCCGCGCGCACTGACAGCCCGGATTTGAATTTGAATATGCGCGGGAAGACAGAGCAGAAATAAAGTCATCCGTTATGGAAAATAACTGCGGCTCATCGCCTGTGACGTAACGTCTTGTAACTGTCACAGAAAACTTTCTATTTGGTGTATTTCGACGAATGCGTTTATATACCAAATATATATATTTGATATATATAAAGTTTTTGTGTTTTGTTCTTTTACAGATTGATGGTGAGAAGGCCGCCAAAGGCAAGGAGGAGGTTGGTCCATTTAAATATATTTAGTATTGTGTGTGTGTGTGTGTGTGTGTGTGTGTGTGTGTGTGTGTGTGTGTATATATATAATTATTTTTAATAAATTATTGCATTTTTGTCCTGTTTTTTGTCCGGATTTTTGCTTGATGAATAACGACCTTATTTTTTGTACATTTTTATTTTATCCAATGAATATAATAATTTGCATTTTATATTGGCTCCCCCACTCTTGATTATTCGGTTACATTACTGATTTTGTATTATTCTTTTTTTGCAGCCAACAAGACGCTCCGCGAGGTTGTCTGCTGTAAGTATAATTTTTTTTAAGGATCTATTCAATAAACAGATCTTTGTCTAATTTCTATGTCTAATTTATTTTTGATTTGATTTACAGAAACCAGCTCCTCCTAAAGCAGAACCAAAGCCCAAAAAAGCCGCTGCCCCTAAGGTAAAGATGTAGTGTGTGCGTGTGTGTCTCTGTGTGTGTGTGTGTGTGTGTGTGTGTGTGTGTATATATATATAACAATACCTGTTCTTGTCTTAGAACAACTTTGATTAACTTTTTTGATTCACTTCAAATGTTGACTACTGTTTGTGTGTGTGTGACCATTTATTAATGACAAAATGCCTAGCCCACATGTTAACCCTCAAACTGAGTGTGAATACATCCTAATCCAGCGGTTCGGTGTCTGTTATTATTTCTGCAATCATATTTTGTGTCATTGCTCACACAGAAGGCAGCCAAGGGGAAGAAGGGCAGCAACCCTGCTGAAAACGGAGACGCCAAGGCAGACCAGGTCAGAAAACGTCTTTGCTGAAATCTTTATTCTAAAAGACTAGAAATAAGCCTACTTTTCGTTCAGTAGCAGATAACACACCAGCTAATTACTGGAGCATATAAGATAATTGATCGCTGACTTTTTTTGTGACGTTTTGGTCATTTTCCTGTAGGCACAGAAGGTGGACGCTGCTGCTGATGCCAAATGAGAAGCTAATGAGTGTCTGATCCTTCTATGTACTTGGTGACTGTACAGTTTGAAATAACTATTTTTTACCAAGTTTTATATTAAGAATAACATTTATAGTTGACTTGTTGACTTGCTTTTGATGTATTGATTGATTTGACAGGAGTTACTATATTTCATTCATATCCATTTGTATCCCATTTTTAATCAAGCGTCTATATCTTGCCAAAACGGTTTGCCCTCGCTAAATCTGTTGGCAAAAAAAAAAGAAGAAAAAAAAAAGCAAGAATATTGTCCTAAAGTTTGTTTATTGCTTCTCTATCTATCTCTTTCTTTTTTTGGTTTATCTTTGGATTTTAAACACCAAACATTCTCAAAAGGCAGCTTAAGAGCGTTTCTAAAATGTTTTCAGGAGGGTTTCACCATGTTGTGTGCATTTAAATGTAGAAATACTATGTTTTCTTTCTGTTTTTAGGGAAATTACAATGAAATTATCACAAGAAAAAAAAAATGATTAAGGCAACAATGGTAAATAAATTTACAATGTGAACCTTCAATTTCTTTAGGTCTGTGTGTTCTGAACTTGTCTTTTTTTTATTAAGTTATGTTCTGAAACAGTGGAAGGATATTCAGTGACTCTTAAAATGCTTTGTTTTAAATGGTTTTGAATAAAAAAATAAAAAACTGTCCAGAAATTGTATTTTATCTTTGTCATATTTTGCATGTGATTAAAAAGTATATATATATACACAGTGGTGGCCACAATTAGAACGGTAATATATTTTTTAATGTTTTAAAAGAAGTCTCTTCTGCTCATCGAGGCTTCATTATAAAAACTAATATTGTAAAATACTTTTACAATTTAAAATAACTTCTATTTGAATATATTTTAAAATGTAATTTATTCCTGTCACCGTGTCTTCAAATTGTAAAAATATTTCACAAAATTACTGTTTTTAATGTATTTTGAATAAAATAAATAAAGCATTGGTGAGCAGAAGAGACTGTCTGTTCTGATAATTTTGGCCACAACTGTATATAAATGGATAAATAAACCATTAACCAGTATTAAATCCTTTGCATTGTTACCAAATGATCATCTCACTATAGCAAACATTGCGTTTGGATCATTTTGCTTTCTAACAGGCAAATTGCAATCAAGTACAGTTAAAGTGCAATTACCAGAACATGGAATTGAATGCATATTTCTTAAATGAATAATTAACAAATGGTGCATGCAGAGTTCAGATTTTAATCAACCTAACAAATTTGAGTTGCACTTTATTTTACAGTAGCACTTACAGTGTACTTACCTAATAAAGTACATACGGTTGTCTAACTACAAGGGTTTAGGGTTTGGTTCAGGTTTAGTACCTATTGTACTTACTGTAGCATGAAAATAGGGAACAGAAACTAAACTTGTCATTCAAATCTGAGTTTATTTTACAGTCCTGTCGTTTAGGCTTAAGCCCAGGATTAGGTGCTTCTACACCGGTGTCGTTTTGGGGATAAGAATAAGATAACTTATTGTTAGGGATCGGATTGTTATCATAGGAATGTCGTTCTGGCATCGACAAAATATGCAGGGTGTTGTAGTTACATTTGTTTCTCGCTAGATGTCGCTGTCGTTTAATAAACGAGAGAAAATGATTCAAACGGTAGTTCATTCACTGTCCAGCAGGTGGCTCCATTTGCTAATTAAAATATATCGCTCGATTTCCTCAGCAGCATAGGATCAAAATAACCTAAACATTTCAATCTCAGTAACATCTGATTTTGTGACACGATTGGAGTAAAATCAGTTTTACTTTCTTTTGTGAGAATATTTTCTGTGGGAGTTGGAATGTGTTCCCTGGAAAACGCCTCTTGCCATTACACGCCCGAAGGAAATATTGACCACATTTATAACCATTTGACTCGTTTTTCTGGTTGAGACAGTTTTGAGATCTCGCAGTAATAAATAGACAGATTCTACTACATTGTTCTTGTAAAGGGAAACGATTTTGTGACTGTTTATGAATGAGAAAAAAAACAACAACTGGAAAGTCTTAAATTGCGTTGAACAGTCTGATCATGTAACTAGTTAACCTGCTAATATGTTGGTCTCTAGATGATCATGCACTGGTTAACTTGATAATTTGTTAGTCTCTATGATCATGTAACTGGCTGACCTGCTAATTTGTTACAAAGCGAATATGACCAGTGGATAATTTTGGTTGATAAATGGGAATTCGATCGTTTATGGTCAAAAAATTATTTATTAAATCTGTGAAGAGACCGAATTTTACTCCATTAACAGTGAATCAAGATCTTTTTTCGGTGTTTGCTGAGCGGAATTCGTTAATAAGATAACAAAAAAAAAAAAACTATGTGAATGCCAAGTGAGAAGACAACACGACGAGGAAATCACGGTTTATTGACAAAACAATCCAACACGTAGCTGTCTACTATTACTGAGAAATCAATCAGAAGATGTTCCAAACCCTTCTGAAACTCAAACAAACGACTGTTGACGAGGGAAACGTGAGAGTTGTGTTCTTCTCTGAGTGAACACATTATCATTAATCAACACTGAGGGTCTGCCCGGCCATATGTTGTGACGTGTTCAGCCACACCCCCTCCTGAATCTATAGGCGCACGGGCTTCATATGTGGAGGAACATCGTGTGCCTTCAGTGTTCTGCCACCCTCAACTCACGGAGGTCCATATCATCAGGTAAGCACAAAACAAGCGCAAAAATGTGTCCACGCAATGTGGGATTTGTACTACCCCGTTTGTAAAATTACTTTCTGATTGCCAATTGGCAAATTCCGATGGTTGTAAATAAATAACAGTATATCCCTCTACCAAATGCAACACTTTTGTTGTTGTTAAAACCTTGCAATATTTAGAAAATTTTTGAGGTTTATTGGGACACTCTTTTTCCAGGTCTGAATGGGGAAAAAAAAACCTGTCCCAATCACCCAGAAGTCTTAAAAAAAAAAAAAATCTAAATAGTTCAATATGAGCAAGTTTCCGAATTATTGTTTATAACAAGATAAGCAAAACTACTGTGTTGTAGGCTAAACCTCATACGCTGCTCATGGATCTTCTCAATGCAATATTCTTTTACCACAATGGGCGAAATTGATTAATTTGAAGACCTTGTATTGAATGCAGATTTGAATAACTGTAAAATCCAGGTAATATTGCATGATAGTTTAGGCTACTACTGTTAAAAGTGACTCAATAACATTGTTGGAAATTAAGTTTTTGATCACACTAAACATTAGTTTGGAATGTTAATATCCACATTTTTGATTTGATCTTTGTTCATAGACAAGATAAGTAGATGTTGAAATATGTTTGAGATCAGTGCCGTCATTGTGATTTATTTGAAATTCAGATCAAACCTGTGTGTGAAGGGACTTTTGACCTCAGATGTCCTCAAATGTAATTGTAGTTTATTGTCTTTAGTGTAGAAGTGTGAATGGTAGCCGTTTGGTTTAGACTATTGATATTCAGATGCTGTTTACAGTTGCTATCTCTCTCAAGTGATCCAATCACAAATGCTCAGCTGAAACTGCTTGACCTTTACACCTAGTGTTTGAATGACTCAAATCAAATGCATCTCTCTTGACAATTTTGGACTTTCTGATTTCATAATTGCATATGACTTATATTGGCATCAGGCATGTTGGTAAAGTGCAAAAAAGTCACTTTTGTGTGATAAATGTGAAGTAATTTGTGATGTCATGTTTGGATGTGCTTCACGTGATCTTGTGAGTTCATATCAGGCATATTGTAGATGTGCATCTGTATGTTTGTGCTCTTGTGCAGTGGATGATTGTTTTGCTCCCTGTTTGAGCCATGATACCTCATCATGAACCTAGCTGTGGCTAAATGTCTAGGGCTCTTGCTACAGAGCCATTTGCTTTGAGGACACCATCGAAATAGCACATGGGACTAACATGAGGGCGGAGCTTAAGCTTTAGTGGGAATGGGAATGATGCTTGTGGCTGGGAATCACTCTGATTGGGCCATGATGAAATGCTGTGAAGCATCACTGACGCTCAAGCGAATGCAAAGAGAGGGATTCTGTGAACGTCTGCTTTGGTCTCAGTGTATGAGAATGGAGGGAAGAAGCCCCAGACTCATTTCAGACATGAGGGCGGAGTTAGAGATGGGGGAATGGTGGGTTTGTTAAAGAGTGAAAGGAGGGGTTGCGCTACGATTGGTTGATGCACAACAAAGCCTGAGGATTTTTCATTCAAACCAAAATTACAGAAAAGGGATATATTTTGCCTGTCCTGTTTTAGGGTTCATGAAAGACTCCTTTTTTTCTCAACCCAAAAGTTTGTTTTATGGTTTATATATATATATATATATATATATATAGATGATATATTGTTCTCTTAAATGGGTAGTTCATTGTCATTTACTCACCCTCAAGTTGTTCCAAACCTGTATGACTCTCTTTCTTCTGCTGAACACAAAAGATTATATGGGTAACTAAACCGTTGTGGGGCCAATGCGACTGTAGTATTTCTCCATACTGTGGAAGTCAATGGGGCCCCACAACTCTTTAGATACCCATATAATTGTTTGTGTTCAGCAAAGGAAAGAAATTCATACAGGTTTGGAATAACTTGACAGAATTTAAATGTAAACTAACTCTAATAATCTCATGGTGCACAAAATTCTTGACGATAGCACAAAATAGTTCTCATTTCTCTTTGGTTTTGTGGATGAAATTTTCTTGACCGGTTTTATAAGATTTGCCCTTGTACTTTTAGTAACTAAACAATAACTGATCAAGAGTTAAAAGGTCTTGTTGTAATTGTAAAAATGAGTTACGGGCATTTTTCTGCTATACGGTTAATAGGTTTTACTGTTGTATTTTATTGTATTGTGTATGGCTGGATTTTATGGCAAGTGTCAACAAGACCAGCTTCAGGGATTCACGTCATTTTAAATGTGCACTTATTAATTAGTTTTAAAGTGACTTACAATACAGCCAAAATGTTGAAGGGTGACTAATGCCCTGTCTACTGGTATTAAAATCTGTTTTGGTCGATTGGGTCACAACTGTAAAAAGTTGAGATTGTCCACTTTCGAACATTTTTTTTTCCGACCATTTGAAAATCGACCGGATTGCTTTCGTAGTGTAAACACTCATGATCAAACAGCCACAAAAGACCATCTTCTCTCCAAATACTGAGCTAATGTGTAAACTTTATGGAAAGAGCTCTAGCCAGACTTCTTCCAGAGACCCTCCTCAAGAAGAAATCAGGACAGAAGTGGTTGAAAGTGGACAAAAGTAACACCAGAATGGGTCTCCCTCGTCTACTTGGAGTCGTTTACTTAAAAAAAAAACTTTTGCTGATAATTTACTCACCCCCATGTCATCCAAGATGTCCACGTCTTTCTTTCTTCATTCGAAATGAAATTAAAGTTTTTGATGAAACATTCCAGGATTTTCTCCATATAATGGACTTCATTGGGAACCAAACGGATCAAGGTCCAAATGAGTTTCAGTGCAGCTTCAAAGGGCTTTAAACGACACCAGACGATGAATAAGGGTCTTATCTAGCGAAAATTAATTTCAAAAATTAATAAAAAAGTGTAAGTTTTATAAGCACAAATGCTTGCCTTACTCTGTTCTGTGATGAGCGTTCATGACTCTCCTGTTCGAACTCGTTCATCAAAATGAACAAATCTTTTTTCGAGTCATGACTCGAGGGTCCTAGATAAGACCCGTATTCATCGTCTGGTGTCGTTTAAAGCCCTTTGAACAGTTTGCACTGAAACTCTCATTTTGTCCTTGAACCGTTTGGACCCCATTGAAGTCCATTATATGGAGAAAATCCTGGAATGTTTTCATCAAAAACCTTAATTTCTTTTCGACTGAAGAAAGAAAGACATGGACATCTTGAATTACATGGGGGTGAGTAAATTATCAGCAAAAGTTTTTTTTTAACTACTCCTTTAATACCAGGTGTAAATGGGAACTGGAACTTGAAAATAATAGTCTAAGTGAAGTGTGTGGTCAATTGATGATATCTGTGTCTGTTAATGGTCTACAGTTTGATATCTGTCAGGTTCTTTGTCTTCATAAATAACTTGTGCTTGAATAAATGAGACTTTAAATGTGCTTGAATAAATGAGAATTCCATCATTTTACACTGTAAAAAATATTGATGGTTTAACTTAAAAAATGACGCAACCTGGTTGCCTTAAAATTTTAAGTTCATTGAACTGGAAAAAGTGAGTTAATACAATGAAGGAGATTAATTTAATCATCAGAAACTCAAAATAATAAGTTATCTCAACTAAATAAATTATTATAAAGTTGATTTGACAAAAGAAAATATGTTGTGGTAACAAATCTTGAAAATATTTTATTACTCTGAAAACTTTTTTTCCTTCCCCTTACCACACCACGCTCCAAAAGACAATGACAGAAATGGAGCAATGCTTTCCCAGTCTTTGTAACTGCAAGGTCAAATATTCGAAGGCCCACATGCACGTGTCAAGTGTTTCATAATCAAGTGTTGTTGTTTTTTGTCAAGCTTATTTTTAACGTAGAGAAACTAGTGTTCACATGACTGTCAAGTCTCATTGTCTATTAAACCTTTCCTTAAAGCTGTTTTCTTGGCCTTTAAATGTTAGATTATTCCAAAAGTGATGTTATAAAGCCCCCTACCGAATTAGGTCATCGAGATGATCATTTGTTACATCACTCTTTGGAAAATCTGCAGTGATGCATTCTGTAATTCAGACCAGTGAAGTGGAATAGACTTGCATAATGAAAACACTTTGCACGGCCATGTGGTCTGTGGGGTATAAGCATGATGTTGAGTGAATGCGGTCACTCCGTCCTCACTTGGAGGCAGGATAATAGAGGACGATCTTGATAACACGTTGAGTACGATTTCATAAACGCAAAGTGTGTGTTTTTTTTTCGTTCACATTCTTGTTTCTTGATTTTTGTAGTTCAGTAAGTGAGAGAATTATATTTGACAAGTTCGGAGTATTGTGGTTGGCAAAGTGGGTGTGTACACGTGCAAGCCAGAAAGCCTATGATGCATTCTGACAGCTGTGCATGTTCGAAAGAGAGAGAGAGAGAGAGAGAGCAACACACAATCCGCCAATCTGATGGCAAGAGATCAGGTTGTATAAAAGGGGCGGAGCTCCTGAGAAAGCTTCCTCTTGGAGCAGCTTCTTCATTTGCTGACCGCTCATGCTGTTTGCAGTCTGACTGGCAGAGGTCTATGCATTGCATTTAAAGTCCAATTTTAGCTGCTAGAAATGCGCTTTCGTGTCTAACCTTCAAAGGTCTCTTAATTTTTCCATTCCAGCTGTTTTTGGAGTTTGCCTTGGAGCAACAACGACGGAGTCGTCTTTCCTTTTCCTGAACGAGCGCGCGATTGCAGCAAGGTTGGTAGATGCATCCCAGACATGTATCTACCATTGCCTTCTCACCACTTTACAAGTGGTTAATGTAGTTCTGGTTACTTTTACCCACTTGTATGTCATATGTTGAGTACCAAATTTGCAGTTAGTCTAAACTCCTTGCTAGCTCTAAACTCTTGAGTTCGAATCGGTGTTTTCCCGAGTAATGGTGCCTTGCAGGCTTTGGATGAGTTTTTCTTCTGTTTCTTATTTGAGTCAGAGTCGGTCTGGTTCAAACCAGCACAGGATATATTTTCAGACAACAGATTACTGTCACCCAGACGGGATTTTCTGCATGTGTCCCCTTGCTCTTGCATCAGCCATATTCGATTTATGGCAAAACAAACCCTTTTTGTGTTTGTGTGTGTGTGTGTTTTCTTTTAACCCCAATTTTGAACTGTCCAAGGACCATTTAAAGTTTTTATATCATCCTTTCTTCCAGTGATTTTAAGTCAGAATGGCTGAATAAGTGGTCTTTTTTTGGCACAGTAATCATTTAAATGCTCACAATAGAGTGCATCCGGATTTTTTTTTATTTTTTTTTTAATTGACTCGTCCTTTCCGGTCTACAGGCTCACAGCTCGGCAGGGAAGTTCGTTTCAGTCGTGTGGAGCACTAAAACAGCAGTGATGATCATCAGACTCGGCAGACTGACGCCTGGATACTTTCGCCTTCTGCAGGTGGCTATTTATTCAAATCTTTTGAATTGGTTAAATCTGTGAAACGTCAACCTTTTTGGATTGCATGTTGGGTCATCTCATGAGGAACCAGGTTTTCCTCAATCTATTGTTAATTGTACTGTGAAAACACTGTAGCTTTCAGAACTCCATTACTTTCCAGTGAAAAAAAAAAATGTTAGTCTTAATTGTCTTGACCTGAGAGCCATCATTAGTATAAAATAAACCTATTCATGATCCCCAAAAAAGTGCATTAGAAAATAAAATGATAAAGTATGATATGACCCCTTTTAGATGCATGCGTAACACTTACATAAGGACTTTTGCTTGGAGCAAGTAATGCTGGTTAGTTTGGTGACGTGTAAATGTCCATTGGAAAGATCAGACTGGTGCCGGTCTGGCTTTTACACTGCATTCCTCTTGGCCAAAAGCGACTGAACTAATTATATGAACAATGGCCGTGAAGGGCTGAATGAAGGCTGTGCACACATGGGAAAGGCCAGTTTAAATTCATCTCTCATGAGCTTGGTGTAATTCTCACGACTTGGAATATAAAAATAACGTGAAAGCCGCAGGGGGGAATGGTCGTAAACAAGCAACTATATCTTGATTAATTTGTTTTGACAGACATTCATTTGAAAGTTTTAACATTCAAAACATTATCAATCCTCCATTTTGAATGGCAAATTTAATTATTGGGGTAAACCACACTACCTTTTCCATAGTGTCACAATAGGACAAATTTTTACAGTATTGAGCTGCTTTTTTTTGCAGTATAAACACTACTAAAACTACTATAAAATGTCAAGCTTATTACTTCAAATACTGACATTAAAACCCAGGAACAAATTGTAGTGAGTTTAATAACCTGTCCTTAGGTTTTAATTCAATTTTCCATATACATCACAATAATCTGAATCATTAAGTTTGCAGTGCCTAAAATAATACCATTAGGCAACCTTATTGTCAAGCCCTGCTCTAATGATTAAATGCTTAATCTTTTTAATCTTAAAAAGATTACCATCTTACTTTTCTTAGACCCTTCTAAACCTACTTGCTTTAATGGAGATTGCAGAGAGACTTGTTAAACCGTCTTAAAGTCGTCACCTTGAGGTTCGCGGTAGTGTGGCATAATTCAATGAGCTTTTATAGACTCCACTTATCATAACAAATTAGGGCTGCAACAAACGATTATTTTGATAATCGATTATTAGAACGATTAATCGCCTAATCATCGATTATTTTGCCAGCTAATCGTTAAGTTTGGAATGATTATTCAGCTTTTTCAATTAGTTAAAACATTGAGTTATCAGTTATATATATATATATATTCTTACTATAATATAAAAAAATAAAATTAGTTCAGCTTTTGAAATAGTGGTTTTAATGAACTCAGAGCCAACTAAACAGGTCATTCTCTTTAAGTTTAACTCAAATCACACACAAATGCTCTCTAAGCATTGTTTAATAAGGCCACTGCCTTTGATCGAACTGAATCAGAAAAAGGGTCATTTACTTCAGGACACAAACATGGTCAAATATTAATCTGCAAACCATTATTATAGATATAAAATTACACTATTTTTTTTTTTTTTACATGAGAATTGAGCTGATAGAAACGTTCTCATTCACCTTTTAATTTACAGAATGAAATAGAAACTAGTAACTGCCATGATATTATTCCTAACATCATGATTATAGAACAAAATACAGGCAAGTAATAATCTATAATACCAAATAGTGTTGCAATAATAAGAACAGTACTGACTCCTAAGCTCAATCAAGCTTTATTTTATGCAAAATAAATGCTCACATTACTGTAACTATATTATTATTGATGATATTATTACTATTAGTAGTATTGAATGATCTAATAAAGAGATACGTTACCAGTTAGTTAGCTCCAGCTGGTGAACACTCGATTCTCACGTCACCGGCTCCTCTTTAGTCGGGATGTTTCCTCTTTAAGTGGATGTGCCATGTGTATTGCACATGACAGCACTGTTGGTTTTAAGTTTTGTGAAACTTTCCCTAACCTTGCTAGTTCGGATTTGTTTGCACTCCGTCATAATTCGCGCTGTTTTTTTCTTTTACCGCACTTGCATTTGTAACTAGGGCTGCATTTTACACTCTAGCGCCACAGCGCCGTAGCGGTCAAATCGCGATATTACACGCCCTTACGTGAGATCAAACGACTACTCGACAACAAAGATATTTGTCGACGATTTTTTTTTGTCGACTAATCGTTGCAGCCCTATAACAAATACTGTCATGACTCTTGATCATAATAACATTGTTTTGGTTGGGCTTTGCACCTCTGGTTGGATAAATGTGGATACTTTTTGGGCTTATGAGGAAGCCAGTCGCCAGATGATTGTACAAAATTTCAAGAAGATGATGACTTTGTTTTCTGTTCTTTTCACAGAGGCAGGTAGCAGGAGAGGTTCAGGCCCCGGCTCACGACCGCTCCGTCAACCAGATCGCCATGATGCTGGCCATCATGGGCCTTAGCATGTCCTACTACAGTGCCAAACAGATGACCGAGAAGGTCCACCATGAGCCCACCCCGTGAGGATGCGCTCCCGTCCCTCGGAGTGACGGCATCCGGAGAAGACGATGCCAAACGGAAGATGCAGTTGAAGATGTTCAGACTACCCCTTTCTATAACTGTTGGATTTCCAGGGATCACACACCATGGTGCTTCTGCTTAGGGGTTCTCTTGCTTTAGTTTCGCTCTCAATGGGGTCTGGAAGGGGTTGAATGTTGTGGCCCGAGTTTCGATAGCTGCCGTGGTACATGCATATCAGAGAGTCAGTCAATTCTGCTGTAGGTTTACTGGGGGGGAAAAAACTCGAGCTCCATCATTGATGCCTAGATAGGGAGCTTAACTCTGAGCCATAATGTCTTTTAAAGGGAAGGACCTCTGCATTTGAGATGTACCAAGCAAGTATTGAAAGCAGGGCCATTGCACAAGGGTGAAATGCTGGATTTAGTTCAGATGTCCCTCAAAAAAAGATCCTATTGAAGAACGTCACGAGACTTGAGGACTTATAACGGAGGCATTGCTCTACTAATCGTTTTAGACACTTTATTGCAGGACTGTTTGAGGACCTTATGTTAAAGTTACTTATCCTTCTTTCATCACAACAAACAATAACTTCATATCAACTTGTTTGTCCTGGCAAATGGCTTCAATCTTAGATTGTCAAAGCCGACTTTTCTATGTGCAATAGCATGAGCTTAAAGCAGTTTTTTTTTTAGTGAAGCCAATCCATATGTTGTTTCTACTTTTTATGATAATGTGATTCATGATGATGATGATGAATGTATTGTATGTTATATTTTTAAGACACAATGATGAAATAAAGCTGTGAATAATTTGAACACGATCAAGTAAAGGGCAGCAAGTCATGACTCAAGAAGGTTTAGAAGAATGTTATAAAGGAAGAAATTGTCCGCTTTTGACGCTGGCATTCCTGCTGAGTCAAGCTCTACGCCGAAACCATATGAAGGGTTTTCGTGTCGACTGAAGCGTGCTGTTGAACAGGAAGTGGGCAAAGCCTCAGGCAACAACTTCCGCTATCTGCATGCAATATTTGTCTGCCATCCTGCCTGTTGCTTCTTACGGAGGCGTATTGCATTCACTTGAAGAAAAAAAATCTACTCTGTTTTTCTGAATTAACGAGTTAATTTTTCATGAGAAAAAAAATGTGCTCTGTTTTTCTGAATTAACGAGTTAATTTTTCATGAGAATTTTTTTTGCTCTTTTTAATTAATGAGTTAATTTTTAATGGATTTTTTTTTTTGCTCTGTTTTTCTGAATTAATGAGTTAATTCAGAAAAACAGCAAAAATAAATTTTCTCATGAAAAATTAACTCATTAATTCAGAAAAACAGAGCAAAAACTTTTTTCTCATGAAAAATTAACTCATTAATTCAGAAAAACAGCGCAAAAAAAAATTTCTCATAAAAAATTTACTCATTAATTCAGAAAAACAGAGCAAAAACTTTCTTTTTCTCATGAAAAATTAACTCATTAATTCAGAAAAACAGAGCAAACATTTTTTTCTCATGAAAAATTAACTCGTTAATTCAGAAAAACAGAGCAAATTTTTTTTCTCATGAAAAATGAACTCGTTAATTCAGAAAAACAGAGTAGATTTTTTTTCTTCAAGTGAATGCAATACGCCTCCGTAGCTTCTGGCGTGATGTCTCACCCACTTACAATATTCAATAGATGTCGGTTAAACCCAACATTTGTTCACCTTGTAACATAAGGTGCATCACTCCCCTGAAATACTAAGCAATTTAGGCTTGAGTCATACGTATTCACGTACAGGATCACCGATGCGTCTACCAAGACACGTTATTTTTCTCATATTCACCATTGTTGCGGCTCCTCTCTTCCCAGTCTTCCCAATGTTCTAGGGTGCGTTTCCCGAAAGCATCGTTAGCCGCAAGTTCCGTCGTTATCAGCATAGTTCAACGAGTCGGTGTTTCCCGAAACCATCGTTCCAGCGAACATTCGCAAACAGCATCGCAAAGTTGTGTGGTTGGAGACATCGTTTCTATATTGCATGACATTTGGATGCAATAAATCCTTATCTTGAGCAAAATAAGCAAGCTGACATTCAGTACAACCGGTGCCTTTTATTTTCAATACGTATAAATGTAATTTACGTATTTCAGTTTGAAGTAACGTGTTTGAAGAGTGCGCATGTGCGAACGTGCTCTACTATGTAAGAACGAGCCAAATATCGAGTGTGGTAATAAAGCAAAACAACTGAGAACAATTAGAAATAGTCCTCAGAATTTATTTTAACAAATATAGCGTTAATTGGATCTCAAACAGTTTCATTAAAAGTAGTTATTACTCCACCACGTGCGAAACCAACGTGGTTGAAAGATACTATGGGGTTCGGAAAACAGTCGTGACTAGCTAGTTGATTTCTCCAACGATGCATTGTACCATGGTAGTGAATCAGCGAACTACGTCGTTGTACGGGTTCCTTTAGTTCCTGTCTCTAAGAAGCTCCTCCTTCTCAAAAGCACACTGTGCTCTGATTGGTCGGCTGGAGCAGTGTGTTGTGATTGGTCAATCGCTTTGAGTGTGTTACCACTACTAAAGCAACCTTAATTCTGTGTATTAATTATTTAAATAAGGGAATATTGGCCGCGTCTGACATGACAAGCTCTCTTGAGTAACTACTTATTTTGATTACTTCACGACCGCTAAAAAAAACCCTTTCTATATAGTATGAATGTAATCTGGACGTACGACATTGCCGAAAGTAGTACACTTTTTGTACGGTTAATTCGGGTTTACTACTTTTGTCGCATGCTGTTTTTCGCCTACTTTATAGTAGGGACACATGTAAAGTTCCTGGAAGAAAACTCAAGACTGGAGTTCAGAAACAGTGACACTGATATAGAGAATAACTTGTTGCTGTTTGAGCATGAAAAAGCTTTATAAATTTCCAAACACACAAAAAAAGAAGCATATTAGCACCCCTCCCCGATTTTGCACTGTAAAAAAATATTGTTGGTTTAACTTAAAAAAATTAAGTAGCCTGGTTGCCTTAAAAATTTAAGTTGATTGAACTGGAAAAAGTGAGTTAATCCAATGAAGGAGATTGATTTAATCATCAGAAACTCAAAATAATAAGTTATCTGAACTAAATAAATTATTTAAGTTGATTTGACAGAAGAAAAAATGTCTTGAAAATATTTTTTTACAGTGATCTAACGGTGAATTGCGTCCAATCCGCCCCAACTACCACCAAATGTTCTTTTGACGCCGTGATTTTCCCATTATTACCAAGCAGTTAACACACCATTGCTGTGTGGATGGGGGAGCGGATGTGTTTTTAAGCGTTCGCTCGGATGCTCTCGGCAGATGTGATGTCCTGTGACAAGCCGAGGCCACATTGCACGACACGTTTTATTCCGCCAATCGCCTTTAGCTCCGCCTCTCTGATCTCTGTGCAAATTTGCCCCAAAATACTGCTGGGGTGGTTGACTTAGGACATGAACCTCAACACGCTCGTCCCATTGGCTGTCTGGTGATGCATCATCATGGTGTCTTTGCAGTGAAACAAAAGGATGGGGATCACGTTGGCGGTGGCGTAATGCACATGGTTGCTAAAAGGGATGGATATAGAAATACCTTAATATGAGGTTGCAGAGGCCTTTTCTGTTTGTTTTGATGGTGACTTGCACATGTAAGAAGCACTTTGAGATTGAAATATGAAATAAGAATCATATTTTCTATTGCTTTGTATTAACGAATCACACTAAAATGTGAATTAAACCACAGACGTGATGTGTCTTGTATGTCCACATAGATCATTAAGTGACTTGTTTTGTTGCTATGTTTCATTAAATTCATTTCAATCATGTCTAGTTTCAGTTGTTTTCATCGCCTCACATTTGTTCTAAATCAGTGGTTTCAACTGGTGCGAACAGCAGGGGAAAAACAATGCAAAATACTAATAATAAAATGCAACTAGGAAAACAAAATAAATGGACAATGCTTCAATGCTTCTGGGGTCCCACAAACTTTTGAACAGCAGTGCATTTTGTTATCAAAGGTCATGAAGATCATCTAATCATAATCCACAGTATTTCTACAGAGCCGACAACATTGTGAATTTAAAATCTGGGTCTATGAAACCAGCTTTGACTGAATCTTTAGTATATCCAGACACTCATATCTTTGTTTTTATCCCACAACAAGCAACACACACACTGACAGGCGAATGACATGATGTCTTGGTTCACGTGCCACTCCGTCTCCGATGTCCACGAGATGTTGTGTCTGGACCGTGATAAAGATCAGTGTGTGTGGCAGCATCAGCCGCTCAGTCTCATCCGCGTGTTTGTCCCTCTCTCTCTCATCAGGGTTTATCACTGCAGGCAATCCTGCCTAGAAAAGACTTGTGGTCATTTCCCATTGTTTTGATTTGATATACAGTTGTGTCAAAGTGATGTCCGGCTTCTTCACCCTTTATTTCAATATTTTTTAATAGTTGTGCTTTTGGAGCCAACAGTTTTATTTGTTCTAATAATGCAATGAAACATGACAAATTGTGCGGACATAATTTTTGGCATTCAAAAAGAAAATCTTCATTTATTCAAAGAAATTATGAATTATGATTGCAGTGGTTGCTGTAATAAAACCGAATGTATTTTAGTCAAATCTCCTTGAAAGGCAAATCTGTGCGGTCTGACGATCAGCCAGACGCGGGTCATGGCGATGGACGGGGCCATTTTAGGGAATGCAGCTTTGGAAAGATTATATACAGCATTTGAGCCCTGTTGCAAAATAGAGAAGTTAAAATGATGACTCAAGGAAATGAGGATCAAAACGTAATCATTTTTTTCATCAGCTTATTTAAAGCTGAAGATATGCAAGTTACACTCTCGCATCTGTTGTGCTCTGATTGAATATTAACCTGATGCAGTTAGTAGGAAACTTCACTCTGAATATTTAATTAAAAGTATATATGTTTTCAATTAAGTTATTTCAAAATAACACCTTAAGTACTCACTGTATAGTAGGACGTATACACAAAATTTTAGTGGTAAAAGCAATGAAATAATATTGCAATATAAAATAAGTGTTAAAATGTAATTTATGTGATCAAAGCTAAATTTTCAGCATCATTACTCCAGTCCTCAGTGTCACGTGATCTTTCAGAAAACATCATAATATGCCGGTTTGTTGCTAATGCTGAATTGCTTCATATTTTTGTGGAAGCCGTGATACTTTTTTTTTTTTCAGGATTCTTTGATGAATATAAAGTTCAATGCACAGCATTCATTTGAAATATAAAAATTAGGGCTGTGCAAAAGTTAATTGCGATTAATCGCATCCAAAATAAAAGTCTGTTTTACATAATATATTTGTGTGTGTTGTATATAATTATTTTGTATATATAAATACCTATGCATGCATGCATATATTTAAGAATTATTTGCTCTTAAATTCTGTATATATATATATATAAATACATAATCTATATTATATAAATATAAATATTTTATATAGGAATAACACATTTTCTTAAAAATATACATGCATGTGTGTGTATTTATATATACAAAATAATTATATACAGCACACACAAATATATATGTAAACACAGACTTTTATTTTGGATGCGATTAATCGCAATTAACTTTTGCACAGCCCTAATAAAAATCTTTTGCAACTTTATAAATTAATGTAACTTATCCATGCTGAGTAAAAAATGTAATTTCTTTCATAAAACAAAACAATTGAAAGTTAGTTTTTTCATGTAAGTTCAATCAAGTGGTTATTCGTGAAGAGCCTGACTTCATTTGTAAACAAGAACATCTTTTTCCCTTGAGATCAGCAAAGCATGTTTTAGTAAAAGACTGAAAGCTTAATTCAATTAATTCTGCACAGACGCATGAAAGTGAAAATGAAATGCAAATAAAATGGCCAATAAGAATTCATAATCTATACACACCCTAAAAATGCTGTGTTAACCCAAATGTTGGGTTAAAATGTTAACCCAACGTCAATGGTACATTTTTTTAATTGCATTTTTAACCCAACATTTGGGTTTGTCCATATTTTACCCAAATTTGTATTGAAACAACCCAGTATTTTTTTAGAGAGTAGCCTATCTTTCTTCTCACATGATACAATAATCTAAGCTCAGATGAAACTGCTGCTGAAGCGAGAGCTCAAACTCAAGCACCTTCAGTTGTGTTTTGCTCAAAGGTGATCATTATTGCAACACTCACACTGCGCTATTGCAGATCAACAGGTGCTGGGAGACATCGGAGTGATTCAGGTGGAAACAGGCCTGGCATGCGGAGAGACAGCCAAAGTGTGTTTGATACGAGAGGAGAGGTTTCCAGAAGCTCATGGCCAACAAATGTGTCCGTCACAAATGTTGCCCTGTATTGGATGAGAAGAGGATTTTGTGAGAGATTCATCATAGTGACAACAGCTGAATGTGGCATGTGCTCTGTGATTGGCTGGCTCACATCACATGACTGAGTTACATAAAAAGTACATGAATCTGCTCTACATTCAGACGTAATCAAACTTCTCCCTGATTTAAATGAATGCCTTCGGCATTTTAACCAAAACTACTTGGTTACATTTGCTAAGCAAGGTGAACATTTGAGCTTATAAAACTTAAACTTTGTTATTTTGTTTTAAACGAGCAATCGTTTCACTTGATAAGACCCTTATTCATCGTCTGGAATCGTTTAAAGCCCTGAAGCTGCACTGAAACTGTCTTTTGGACCCCATTGAAGTCCATTATATGGAGAAAAATGCTGGAATGTTTTCATCAAAAACCTTCATTTCTTTTCGACTGAAGAAAGAAAGACATGGACATCTTGGATGATATGTTTTTTTTTTTTTTTTTAAAGTGAACTAGAACTGTTGCCTCATTTTGTTTAGATTTACATGCAGTTGTTTTAATCACTAAAAGCTTCATTATTAGTGATTATTTTCTGTCAGCCATTGTTGCTGTGTAAGAAAGGAGACGTTTGTTGGGTTATGTAATGTTGTCGCATTCTTCCTATAGAACTCGATGAACTTCCAGGGGCCATTTTTGTTGCAGTTCAGTGCCACATGATATTTTAGTCACTCAGGGTCTCATTTCAACAAGTTACAGCTATAATTGTGTCAGATATGAATGAATGAATCTGTGTGTTTGTGTTCAGCTGGAAAGCTCATCTCACTGGAGGCCTTTGAATGTGAAGTGAGTTCAAACATGCAGGAAAACCTGCTGAATAACTGCACTGCAACCAGTTTGAACCAGTTGCCATGAGCGGCGGAGACGGGTGGGGGCAATGCAAACAGAACCAGATCTCAGACGGAGAAACACAACACCGGAGTTTCAGAAATGTGTCTTTGGGAAGGGTTAGCCTGTTGCATTTTAGCAGACTAGCAGTAGAAGAGTGTCAATATGTGTCGAGATCCATGTCATGGTTTCAATAAATATAGATCAAAGGCAGAGCACAATGTTGGGGATCATTTTGGATCAACACATATGCCAATAATGTAAATGTAAAATGTAATGGTATATTAAGCTCAAGTGCACTGCCTCTCAAACTAAAACAATACAAATTTTAAATAAAAATAAAACATTAAATTGATGAAAAGTGCCATTTATAAAGTTACAAAAGATTTCGATTTTGATCTTTCAAAGAAAAATGTTTTCCACCAAAATATGAAGCAGCAGCACAACTGTTTTCAACATTGATTTAGCAGTAAAACATCATATTATAATGATTTCTGAAGGATCATGTGACACTGAAGACTGGATGCTGAAAATTCAGCTTTAATCACAGGATTAAATTACAATATATTATATTCACATTTAAAAAAAAATTTATTTGTAATTATATATTATATGTATAATTATATGTATCATTTTTCCACAGTATTACTGTATTTTTATTCAAACAAATGCAGCATTGGTGAGAAAAAGATCTTTTGTTTCTTTATTTTTGAAGTAACGTGCATGTTAAAAGCAACTTAAAATAATGCAAAACAGGATTAAAATAAAAATGCACATTTATATTATTAGTTTTTACAAAGATTTTCCTATATAGTCGTGTGAAATTCCTCGAGGGCATAGAGACGATTGCTGGGGCTATTTGTAGGATCAACGCATTCCTTGGCAGGTCAAAGATGGCTCAATGTTGATGTATAGCTGGAGGTCTTCTATGGAGAGAATTATGTGCCAAAATTAAACAAACAAATCAGCATTTTGCAAACAAACTCGATCTGCTTTGCAAAGGAAAACTCGACTCGCAAACAAACAGAAAGCAATTTGCAAAAACAAACGTCAATTTGAGTGAAAATGCATATCTGTCTGTTATGATTGTGAGATCTCTCGGCTCTCGCCAACAGTAGATGGCGCTAAAAATACGGGATTAATTTAGCGCTAGTCTGCCGCACTGATTTGAAACGCGCTTGCCTTTCTATCTTACTTTATCTATGATAAACATCTTGAGGTTTTCCTTTGCTAAATGTTTATTACAGGGCCACTGGGCCTTTAACATTGTTGAGGACAAAATGCCAAGCAGATTGAGTTTGTCTGCGAGTCGATTTTTCCTTTGCAAAGCAAATCGAGTTTGTTTTTGCAAAATGCTGGATTTGAAAGATTATATACAGCATTTGAGCCCTGTTGCAAAATAGAGAAGTTAAAATGATGACTCAAGGAAATGAGGATCGAAACGTAATCGTATCATTTTTTTTCATCAGCTTATTTTAAAGCTGAAGATATGTAAGTTACACTCTCGCATCTGTTGTGCTCTGAAAACACGCTGATTGAATATTTGTTTTTTTTTTTAATTTTGGCACATATTCGCTCCATAGTATTCTGGTGACCACCGAGCCTCTGAGTCAGATAACCATACGTTACATGAGGGGCAGAGGTCAAATGGTGCTTGCGTAACAGTAAAGCTCTGATGTATGAAATCATCTGTCAAGTAAACAGCTGGTTTGGTAATGTGGAAGTCACCCCTATATTAGTATCTATGGTCTTTAATCACATTCAAGTCGAGTTCTGTTCCATTATATTCTGTCCTGTTTTTGAATACATCACAAAATACTTCAAGCGCAGTTGAAAGTAATGTTAATGAACAGACATCCAGGAATGAGTTTAATCCAACTTGATGGTGCATTGATTTCATGATGGGTGGAACTGCATTGCTCATATAATTACAAAATATAACTATAATTGAGAAAACATCATGTTCTAATGTGATGGACTGGAAGTAAAATGAAATGGCAAGAAAGTTTCCATTCTGGCTAAATGTGTGATTTTACACGTGATATCTTAGCATAAGTAAAAATCTCTAAAGTCGTTTTGAATCTCAAGCAAATGTCATCAAAAATATTTTCATGTCATATGGTATGGAATGGCAGTAATTGCAAAATATGGATGTCACTCTTTCTTCAAATAACATTTTATGCATGATCTAATTACAAGAATTAAGTTATAATTATTTTAATTTTCAAAAAGCGTTGAAATCTCTGCAAAGCAACAACAATACTTACTAATTTAAATTGTGACTCACGATGTCAAAGGGACTTTTATGATAAACACTTGAGAAATTCTTCCTCAGGTCAAAGGTGAGTTTAAAGACAAACAGTGAGTTTATTTCCATTTAAGCATTTACAGATGCTTTTATACAAAACGACTTATATTACTTCAAAAGTAGTTTGACTTCTACAGTTTATCTAGTGATATTACGATCAATGGAAGCATCCTACCTTCCTTTATCCTGAAAATTAACATGCAATTCATCAGCAGAGTTATTAGCTCTCATTTATTTTTATTGAAGTAAATAAAAGAGCAGGTTAGACATCTTTTGAATGCAGTATTGCATATGAGTTTGACTACAGAATCACTTTCAGATGGAAATGCATGGTGCATGTATGAAGTTCATTTAACCTCAGGGAGGGTTAGAGTGTTTGAATGCTCGTAGGGTTATATTGTTTTTGCAAAGTGCTATTTTGAGCGGGAACATGCTGTGCTTCACATGTGTGTGTATATATATACATATTTATCCTGCATGAACAGCCCAGCCAGGACTGCAGGATACATGTGGTGTAGGTGTCAGAGAGCGAGAGGGAAAGGGTGCGCTAAATAGGTCAGTATATGACATAGCACTCAACACTTACCGTATAGGTGATGAGAAATGACACTGAGACCATAAAAAAGTCATCTGTCACATCTAAACGCTGCATGTTCTGCCAGATTCATGCTGTGTGAGCAGCTGTGTTGCTTATCAAGATGCTCAAATCTCTGACACGTGTTGATGACCATGCGTAACCTTGGGAGATCGCTTGAATCACTTGGCAAAACAGTACGGTATTAAATTTGTTTCTGAAAATGTAAAATTGGTAATACAGAAGATCTGTCTCCACTAATCTGTCTAATCATTTATATATGTTCAAACTTTGTCAATATTTAGGATACAGATGGATGCAACCGGGGCTAGTTGTCACGCAGGGATATGGCCGAAAAGAAAAGGTTTGTTTTAGTTGTTTTGTATGTTGGTTTCAAACCATTTCAACAGGTTGACATCATAGACTGTAAAAAATATGGACAAAGCGTACAGTATGTGACGTCACTCATAGACTTTCTGAAGAACGGGTTGTGTATGGGGGGTATGGGCGGCGCCATACTGGAAAATCTTGAGAAATACAAAATACAAATGTTCAGAAAGGATACAGAGGTGGTATGATGTGTTGTGTCAGATCATGACCGAGACGTCAAATTCCACTCGGCGCGGCCCGTTATCAGCTGTCAATCAAAGTTAACCGCCCTTATTTGTCATACATTTTATATCTAAATACGATCTCAACTAACGAGTTAGAAAAAAATTCACCCCCCTCACAGTTGTCAGGCACGCAGAACATATTGAAGATAAAAGTCCATGGGACCAAACTGTAAACATATTAATTTATGCTGTGAAAACGAACATTATAACATGAGGTCTATGGATATTTGCTCCCTTTTGGTACCGGCCTCTAGCGGATTTGAGATGTATTGCAGTTTTTCACACTTCCGGGTAGGCTTCATTTTTCAGATTAGAATGTTGCCGATTGGTTGACACTGTATCAACATGCAATTAAATGCAGTTTATTATATATATATATTTGTAAATGTCAAAACATAGGCCTAGATGGATATTTCTCTGTTTCCTTCTTAGAGCTTCCACTAACATTCTGGCAAGCAAGAATGTTCAAAGCCAAAGGTCTTATAATGTTCTAACATTGTCTATAAAACATCATATCTTTCTCATGTAATGGTTTTTCATTCACTTTTTTTTTTAACCAGAAGTATCATTCCAAAAACGTTTGCAAAATGATATTCCCTTAACATTTGCATAACCAAGAAAAAAATTCATAAAGCTTTTTTGGACATTGTAAACGTTCAGAAAACATTAAAAATTAATTCTTCCATAATTTAACGAGACCATCAACAAAATATTCTTAGAATAGGCTAATATTGGGTTATTGTTTTAAAATTACTATTTAAAATTGTCCTTTTTAAAATGTTTTTTTATCTTTAAATTTGCGCAAAAAAGAACACATCATTTACAAGAGCTCAAGAATACAAATATAAAACATCTTTCATGAAAATAAAAAAATAAGGTTTTGTATGAGAATTTGCTTTTATGAATGGTAACGGTAGGCTAAAATAAAGTTGGCTTAGGCCTATAGAGAAAGTGTCTCTTCTCTGGCTCTATAATGTTCACACAAGACAAGCCTACTTCTTGTACGCTGCATACAGGGTCTGTAGCCTATACATTAACACAAGTGAATTAGCCTTGCTTTAATAATTAATAACCCTTGATCTCTTGACCTACAGTCAAGCATCACTGCTGGATATTAACGTTGGATCTGGGTGAGAGAGACACATACATGAAGACAAAGACCATTATGTGGCACGTGGGTCTTTCACAGGAACACTGTGTTCTGTACATTTTGTTCTACATGTCAAGCAGAGAAACACGGACCGCGAACACACGTGATCCTCCTGAAGAGCTCTGACGCCATCTGCCGGTGAGAGTCAAGACACACACTTTAAGTCCAGTCAAGTCACCTTTATTTATATATAGCGCTTTTTACATTACAGATTGTATCAAAGCAGCTTCACAGTGATAACATGAATATAATACAACACAGATCTATAATATTGTTGAATATTAAATGTCGCATACTAGCAAGCCAAAAGCCAAGGCAACAGTGGCAAGGAACAAAACTCCATCAGGAGACAATGGAGAAAAATCCTTTAATGCCCATGCAACACATTCCGACTAATCATTTCAAAAGCAGGATAAAGCGTGTGTTTATACTTTTCATTTAAACAATGAAACAATAAACGCAGAGCTCAATTTTTATATGATGCAGTGACTTTTAAGTAGCCAATAAAAACAAATGCAATTTTATATATATATATATTACAACACACCCTGATGTGACATTCATAAAACAAATATTTTAGTAATTAAAATGATCGATTTATTTCCTCTCTTTCCGTTTCCCCCCTCAACACTCTTCAGAAACCAGTTTTCTTTGAGTTTCATTGGCACCAGAGTTCACCAATAAAAAAATACAATTATAATTTAAAAATTACAACAAAAAACTGCATATAGCCTACTTTTTTTGAATATACTGTTACAGTGAATGCATACCTAATATATAGGCTCATAAATGTTTCTGTAAAGTGATAGATTTGAATACAATTATAGCCTAAATTAGCATGAGGAGGCCTATCTGGGCAATTGCAATGCATCTAATTTCTTCTATCATAAACATATGTTTCCAAGAACTCATCATCCCTGATCTTCCTCGTCTCGTGCCTTGTTGTGTATGTGTGTCGACACGTTACCGTGATTAAGCGGTCAGCTGCGATCACTTCTCTCCACCAGCTGCAACTCATTTCATCTCTCTTTAAATACCAAATACTTACCGCTTTCTCATTTCCTGGGGCTATGTTTACACGGAAACGATTCTGAAGAGAAAACGCAAAAGTGGCGTTGCGTCATCACTTTTTATTCAGCGTTTAGACGAGCGTTTTGTGTGGGAAATTCGCGTGCAAATGGTGACGCAAAAGTGTGTGAAATTCAATGTAGTACGCACTTCAGACGGCTAGGAGTGCATACTACAACACCAAGTCCACGCGCCTGCGCACAACCTTCACTGTCGAGCAGACTTTTGCGTTTTTACCGTTTTCACGGGAACGCGGCGGTGGAGCGTTTTTAAGATTTCCACTCTGGAGGGTGGTTTCACTTTTTTGCGTTTTTAAGCCTCAAAAACGCCGTCGCCGTGTAAACGAAAGGCACATCCGATACAATTTTTTTACGTTTTTACCCGCGAGCGTTCTCGCGTAAACAGGGCCTAGTCAGATTGTGTTTTGTGGTATACGGTTGTGTTCACTCCGTGTTCCTGTTGTGTTTGTTCAGCACTCTTCATCACTTCTCTCACCGGATTTATCTGACCATTGGAGACCCTGTGCCGCTAGCCTGTAACACCTGACTGGACTTTTCATATGCTTCAACATCGACAATTAATAAATTGAATTTCACTTGCACGTGCTTCCGAGTTTCATTCGTGACATGATTGTTGTCAGCTGTGTATTATTAACCTTGTTAAATCAATTAAGCCCGGTTTATTCCCGTCATCCCATCAATTCCTTCGCAAAATGAGTCACTGTGTGATGCCTGCATGTCAAAACTGTGTGATGCAACAAAAACTCAAAAACATGCATGTGAACCAGATCATCATCTAAACTAGCTGGAAGCGTCTCATGCAGCAGAACTCCCTCATGGAGAGCAGAAGCGTCCGTAAAACAAAATGCTCTTGGTTGGATTGTGTCGGATGAAGAAAAGGAAAGGATGGTCTGCGTTGAAGACATTTGGGATTTCATAACACACTGTCCTCGCTCTGCCGCTGATGGCTGCAGCCGCTATGGTTCCTTCCTCGTTGACTTCAACAAAGGCTTTATGGATCACCTCCGACAGCACCAGGTCGTTGTTGGAGGACATGCCTGAAAGATTCACCTTCTTCTCGTCAAACACATCCTTCATTCCCATGCTGATCAGAAGACTCTTCATGTCGTATGTTTCCTCCATCTTGAATCTGGGCAGAGATATCTGAACCTTTCGTTGAGGCATGACTTCTGGTTTGGTCCACTCCATGAGCTTCTCGTAGGTCAGTGCCTTTTCAAGCTGGATCATAAGAGAGACATGTCAGATGAATAGTTCAGTCAAAATGAAAATGCTCCACAAGTAAACATCTGACTGGTCACGGCTGGATAATTAAGCGTTCAAATCACCTTTTGAAGGCCAGTGGTGCTGTCTTTTATCTTATTAGGAAGGATGATCAACATACTGAGATTCTCCCCGTCATACGGCAGCTCCAGAACCTGACTTTTGATCTCTGGGATGGATGCCAGAGGAAACCTCTTCTCTTGATACATCATCTTCACTGGTTTAGTTTGTTTCTGCCGAACATAATTGGAAACACATTATAACCCCTCAGATTTCATCATGACTGTTATAAATATGATTTAAAAGAGCACGAAATTTCACCTTGTTCAGCTTAAACTCTCCATCTCTGGTGGTTAACTTTGAGAATTTCTTCTCCCAGTTTCCCTTGAAGTAGATGGCGTTCACCAAAACCAGTTTCGTCATCGCATCGATGGCTCCCTCTGGCAACAAGTCCCTGATCTTGTCTAAAATACAAATGACATTGTTCACTTTGAGCAGTGATTTGAACTGGTTGGGTTTATATTTTTAATTTATAACTCAAGAACCAATGAAGCCAAACATGGCCCATGAAAAGACAATTTTGCTCAACCTAAAGTGCTGAAAAAAACAAAAACATGAACATGAACTTTAATTTGTAAAAGTGAAGAGTAAGTTTAAATTTCAGAGTAAGTTTATGCTGGATTTCACCTTGTGTTTTTTTCTCCACCCATTTGTTGATGTTGACGTGAGCCGCCTCTGGTTTGTTCTTGAAGTCCACCTTCTCCAGTCCGGCTTCATAGTAGCATTTTGCGTCATTGAGGAATTCCTGTAACACATCAAACCGATTGAGGTGCAAATGATATTAGAGTTGAGAACATTTCCAGATCCTTCAGTGAATAAACCGAGTCTTACCTCAACAAACTGGTAGGATTGCTCTCCGTAGAGGCGGTTGGCAAGACTCAACGCATACGGGACTCCTGGTTTGTTCAGCTCACTCATGAACTTGTTGAAGCTGGAATGAATTTGGTCCTCAGGTTTTTCCTCTGGACATTTCTGTTCGCATCAACAATATCAGATTTAATCAGTTGAATCAGACGAACCCAAAGGATACATGCATCTCTACAGTAAATACAGATGTTCATGCAACAGAACCTTGACAGAATGTTAGCTAAAGTTCCCTGTTAACTGGGTTAGTGTTTGATGGAAATATTCATACGAAACCTTGAGTTCAGCAGGTGTCGGAGGACTCTGGGTTTGCTGCATCATTGGTGGTTCATTGTTAAAGCCCAGGACCTACACAACATTGTTATGGTAGAGTTAATAAAGATAACTTCAACATATTGTGAGTGCACTTCTCACATGCTCATTAGAAGAGTTTAAAATGTTTAAAAGAAAACTTATCCACAAGTTTCCTTAGCCCCATGAGGCCTTGCGTTAAAAGTGATCACTATAGTGATCTATGGTCGCATTTTTGGCTTATGTTCAAAACAATCACGTTTAAGCCACTGAATTAGTTTAGTCCGGTTATACGTACAACCGCGAGCAGCACATGTTGTCCCTGAGCTCCGTAACGACATCTCTCATAAAGATCTGCGTCTTTAAATAGTAAAATAATTCTCAGAAAAACAGCTAGCCTCTTCGCTAACTAACACACAAAATACCATTGGAATGCTACTTCCGCCGCGTCACCGGAAGTTTCACCCACTTTATTTTTTACAGGAGCGCCCCTCGGGAACTTGTGGATAATGTAAAACACATTTTTTGTTGATTTTGGCCCTCAGGCCTTTGATAATTGAGTGGAAAGACTGAGTGATTCATTGCCGACACTTTACTGTTTATGCCTAGCCTGGATGCTAGCCTGAACCCCGCCCACAACATTTTTTGGTCGGGAAGTTCGGTCTGGACTCGATCCATTGAAGAGTAATGGGCTATATGCACGCATAAGTTCCGCATTTGACGCAAGGATGCTCGTCAGTTTCCGTTTGGGGAGATTAAAGCGGAGGAAAACCGGGGGAAAACGGGATTATGGCAGAGTCTTCAAAATTTACTGTCCTCCCGTCTTTGAAACGAAACTTTCATACGTTTAGATGTCATTTTATATATAGTTATGTTTATTTAATATAATTTTAAAAAGAAGCATAAACACAACGAGGGGTGTCTGTTTTTGTGACTAACGTTTAACCATGGAGTATAAAATTCAATATAAATTCTCGGTATTGCATTGGACTCTACGATCGGCGGAAGTTATCGAGCATCCTTAAACCTTCACCGGAAATACCGCCGTGCATAGAGCCCATTATGATCAGACAAGAAAAGTTCGGGCCAATCAAATTGCCAGGGCGGGCTTTATACGATGATGGACAGATGATCTGCAGGGACGTAATCATCATGTTATCAAAGAGCGCTTAACTGGTTTCCCTCAGAGATGACTGCAGCTGGAGAATTGAGATGTATAGATTCAGCTGTCGTGTCTGTTGTAAAATAAATCGACAGCGCATTCATTTTAATAGACAAACAGAAAACTGCAATCAAGGCATTTGTCAATCGGAAAGATATTTTTGGCGTCCTTCCTACATGATTCGGCAAAAGTGTAACTTATCAGCTGGCTCTGACGGTCGTTAAGAAGATGGGACGTAATGAAAAGCCTGTGGTTTCTCCTTTGGTGGCACTCATGGAGAAGTAAGTAAAAGAAGCAACACTCGTTATTTAACTTCTAATCTAAAATAAGTAAGTTGTGTCGTTGAAAACTGCGCTATGCAAAGGAGTTGACTTACTGCGTTGCTCTGATTGGTTGTAGATTTACTGACTATCCAATTGAGTGCAGAGTTTTTTTTTCCTGGTTCGGTTAATAATCAAAGCACTATTGAGCAGTATCAGACTCACATTCTGACTAGAATATGAGTATGACGAAGTCAGGTTCCCTACGGTTAAAGAGTAGCATGCACAGTATTTCAAAAACAGGTTAAAAGTCCCCGGATGACCTTCCACGGTTCTGAAGAGCGCATTCGTTAGACACTTTTCTATCCCGAGGCCACAGGAGAGGATTTATGTATGGTAGTAAAGCGATGCAACTGATTCTGGGAGGTCACATGACAGTAACAACATGACATAATATGTCTGGATTACATTCAGACTTCATTTAACATTGTATTATCACAGGACAGTGCAATACTCCGAAATGGAGAAAATGATCTTTATTGTGTTTGTTTGTTTTTGGTTTATTACAAAACAATAAAACAATGCAGTTCAATGAAAACAATGCAGACCACTTTCTGGAAAAGCATGCACTCGTTGCCCAAAGGCTTGCATCACGTCCTGGTCCCTCCGTCTAACTCTACTTTTCCGTCACCCTCTTTTAAAAGTATATTGTGTGAGATCACCTTATTCATCTGATCCGCTGTGTTTCCTCTTGCACCGAGCGACACCATGGCCAGAGCCGAGGAGAGGCTGACAGGAGAGAAGAACACATTTCCTGATGCGTTTTCTTTTCTGATCTTCTTGAACAGGTCGAGGCAGAACTGTGTGTTTGCTGCAGTCAAATGCTCCATTTTCACAAGCTAGAAAGAGAGAGCGAAAAATATCAGCATGTGGAAATCTCAAACAGAGCATTGATCGGGTCAGTTGTCATTTACTATGTAAACAACATCACATGCTTGTCTAAGAAACAGTAAATCCATGCTTTTTCTCTCATATGACAGCAGTTTTGTTCAAATAAAACAGTAGTAGGACAGTAGTTTTTCCATCATTTTCATCCTTACACACAAAGAACTGTAATGTAAAAATCTGTTCACTTCAAGCTCTTCCTACGATGATGTTCTGTCGGAGGTGAATGAATAATCTGCAGAGTCACTTTGTTTTCTTCTAGTGAATATTGCCTCGCCCTGAAGAGCCCATCCTCTAAATCAATAAGCCCTTCTGTAAAACATCTCAGGTTACTCAACCAAGATGTGGGAATGAGACGATGTGTGTGTGTGACGTCAGCGAGTGACTGCGGTTATGCCCACTGAGTGGGAAAAGTCCAAGTTATGGTGACCATATTTTGATTACCAAAAACCAGGACACTCGGCCCGGTAAACAGATACTCAAATGATAATCGAAGTTTACTCAAAGATGCCTTGTTAATTTCCAAGCAATTAAAGTAGGCTATGCCTCATCTGAATGGATAGAAAATTTTTATATTACAAGACACAAATTCAGATAGGCTTCTCAGAGGTTACTCAACATGTTTTATTATGACTGGTTTAAAAATAGTTAATGAAATAATGATAGAAATAATGCCCATCTATATTTTGCTGTTGAGCTGATCTTTCCCCACCCGTTCTCATCCCAAGGCGTCCCAATTTAACGCACATGGCACCCTTTAGCGTCAATATGAGATGCAGACATAGATATGAGCCAGAAGGCGCCTCCTAGTGGTCTAACCCTAACCCTACCTTAAACCTACCCTTAACTGAAGCGTGTTATATTGACGCTAAAGGGTGCCATGTGCATTGGAAATAAACACTTTGTCAAAAGCATCACAAATGACACCCTAGGATGAGAATGCATTGCTTTCCCAGCAGTTTTTTGAAAACCAGGACATTTTCGTTACTTTATAAAAAAAAAAAAAAAAAAAAAAAAAAAAAAAAAGCCAGGATGGCCAGGACAGGACGTGAAAGCAGGAAAGCAGTTTTTTGTTGTTGTTGTTGTGGTTATATTGTCTCTTTCTTTGTAGTTGCAACCAGTGACACACCCCTGAACACACTAATGTATTTCCAATTTTACTGGAAATTCGCCAAAAAACTACTTCAAATGCAGGTGAATTATTATGACCATACTATTTATTGATTTGGCTCCTCTGCAGCTTCCTCTGCTAGTTCGTTGAGTGATCTTGCTGGAGGTTGTGGTCCATGATGGTGACGTTGCAATCTGCACTGTCGCACTTACATGCAGTTGCTTCAACAACATTATGTGCATAGTGAGTTTCTGGAGAGAGAATATTGCACTTAAAATTTTGATAATGGATTTGTTTTAGTTTTGTAATTGGGTTGTGGCTATGTGATCCATAAAGTCATCATAAAGTTTCTTTATGCCACTTTCATTTCTTTGATATTAATTTCTACATTTTAGTTTGTTTTATTACACTCCTTTTAGAAAATTGCACTTAAAATAATTTGTTTTATTTGTGTTTTCTGTTTTGTGGATATGTGGTCAATAAACTGTCAAATAAACAATAAAGACTGCAGCCTCTAGCGACTATCGCTAGAGTGCAAGCCGCCTTTCCACTGCACACGACATTCGCATACGATTGTCGCATTTCGCCCCCTAGTGTCAGTCGCACAGAACTTTGAAATTGGTCGTGAAGCAACCGTTACCCTAGGATATTCACAATGGTAAAATTAATGATTTTAATAAATGTAATGCATGCATGAATATATCTACACAAAACAAATGACCCTCAATTCATCTCAAATAAAAATATAGTAGTATAAATATTGGTTTAATAATTATAAAATATATTTTCTGCTATAGTTAATTATATAACCAACATTTTACATAGCGAGCGTTTACAGAAAAACATTAAAGAGTTAAAATATTGGTAATTCTAGCCTCGCGCTCATAGTTTTTATTAGAATACATCACTTCCGGTTGGCCGGTCGCATACGGTCTAGCCGCAGACGTTCAGATATTTCAACGGATCCAAAGCTCAAAACGGATCCGAATTTTCCGCATACGCATATGATCGGAACTCCCCGCAGCTCCCGTACGACTCTCCACTGGAAATGAATGACTTCCGGTCCGACGGCGGTCGTTTGTCGTGTGCAGTGGAAAGGCGGCGGCTATGCACGCATAAGTTCTGCATTTGACGCAAGGATGCTCGTCCATTTCCGGTTGTGGAGATTAAAGCGGAGGAAAACCGAGGAAAACGGGATTATGGCAGAGTCTTCCAAATCTACTGTCCTCCCGTCTTTGAAACGAAACGTACATACGTTTATATGTATTTTAAATATTATTTAATATAATTTTAAAAAGAAGCATAAACACAAGGGGTGTCTGTTTTATCTGTTTTTGTGACTAACGTTTCTTTAGTATAACCGTGGAGTATAAAATTCAATATAAATTCTCGGTATTGCATTGGACTCTACGATCGGCGGAAGTTATCGAGCTTCACCGGAAATACCGCCGTGCATACAGCCCATTGAGAACTCCGTTACAAATGCATAGTTTATTTGTTTTTACTCAGCTCTTACGTTGGTTGATCTTACGTAGAAACCAGTTTTCTTTGAGTTTAATTAGCACCAGAGTTTGAGTTAATTTATCAGCGGTTTACAATTAAAGATGACTTAAAACAGGTTTTATTGAGGAGCTGTAAAGATTTATTTCATTTATGTTGAATATACTGTTACAATGAATGCATGCACGTAATATGTAGCATCATAAATTATTCTGTAAGCTGATTTGATTACATATACAGTAGCATGAAGAGACCCGTCCAAAACCACAACCTAAATGAGATTCAGGACAACTGCAATGCATTTAATTTCTTCAGTCATAAACACGTTTCCTAGAACTCTCCGGGACTCATCATCCAGGATTGCTGTACTATTGCTGTGTATTATTAACCTTATTTCAAAGTCTAGTATGTGTCACCTCTGTATTTCTGAGCGCTTCTTCGATTATCTGTTCCATGGTTTTAAGTTATAACCCTGTTTTTGACCCTGCCCTGGTATCTATTTGGATTGTTTTCCCATCTGTTGATCTTTTGCCTGTAACCTGTTTTGTATTTCGTCTAGTTTGAATAAGTGAGGGGAGCAATTAAGCTTTTTAAGCTTCGAATCAATTTCGAATCAATTCAATCAAAAACATGCATAAAAACAGCTTTCACAAACTCATTGCAAATGTTTCATTGAAAGTATAATTAACTAATCATCTAATACCATTTAATATTAAGTGTGTATATAATATGTGTTCTTTTATCAATTTTTACGGCTTGTTTTGTTTGTTCCATGGGGGTCCGCTAAACAGAGACTATTAACTATACTATAATTCATTTTAATTATACAAATACCTCATTAAAATGTCTGTGAATATATATATATAAAAAAAATGTATTATGTAAATGTGCCCTGACACACTTCATTCTCATTTTATAGACATTCGAAACAGTTATGAGGTAACAAAGCATTGTTTACTGAAATCATGTGACTTTGGGAATTTAAAATGGACCATTGATTCGAAACTAAAATATTTGACAATAAACTACTGCATTTGGATCTTTGCGTAGCCAATCTAAGCAGTTTGTAACATTTATATTATTGATATACTATTATAGTTTTTGATCATTTTGAAGCAAAATACATATATTTTACAATTTTATACTATTATACTAAGTCTTTCTCCTGTACATTGCAATCGGTACTGATCTGTTGGCAAATAAATGTTTCTTAAACCAAAATATGACTGATTTGTAGTAGTTGTCTCGACTCGTCTCTCCTTCTCATGTGAACCAGATCATCATCTAAACTAGCTGGAAGCGTCTCATGCAGCAGAACTCCCTCATGGAGAGCAGAAGCGTCCGTAAAACAAAATGCTCTTGGATGGATTGTGTCGGATGAAGAAAAGGAAAGGATGGTCTGCGTTGAAGACCTGCGGGAATCTACAACAATCTACCATTACGATGGCGCCGGTGGCTGCAGCCGCTTCGGTTCCTTCCTCGTTGACTTCAACAAAGGCTTTATGGATCACCTTCGACAGCACCAGGTCGTTGTTGGAGGACATGCCTGAAAGATTCACCTTCTGCAGGTCAAACACATCCTTCATTCCCATGCTGATCAGAAGACTCTTCATGTCGTATTTTTCCTCCATCTTGAATCTGGGCAGAGATATCTGAACCTCTTGTTGAGGCATGACTTCTGGTTTGGTCCACTCCATGAGCTTCTCGTAGGTCAGTGCCTTTTCAAGCTGGATAATAAGAGAGACATGTCAGATGAATACTTCAATCGAGATGAAAATGCTCCACAAGTAAACATCTGACTGGTCACGGCTGGATAATTAAGCATTGAAATCACCTTCTGAAGGCCAGTGGTGCTGTCTTTTATCTTATTTGGAAGGATGATCAACATACTGAGATTCTCCCCGTCATACGGCAGCTCCAGAACCTGACTGTTGATCTCTGGGATGGAGGCCAGGGGAAACATCTCCTCTTGATGCATCATCTTCACTGGTTTAGTTTGATTCTGCCAAACATCAGTGGAAACTAGGGGTTGAACCGACTAGTCAATTAGTCGACTAGTCGACCTTAATGCAATGCCGTGATGCTTTTAGCCTGACGTCAACTAGTCGCTTTGATCATGTGACACTATATGATTGCGCTAATTTTAATATTATATGGCCGTGTTAAAGACGACAACAGATGAAGAGCCCAGAGGGTCATTGCAGCAAGAAAGCAGCATTGGTACATAAAGCGTATGGGAATACTTTACTAACGTAGCACCACTATAGACGAATCCGACGAGCGTTCTTGTGTAGGCTGCCATCTTGTGGCGACGCCATTACTGAGCTGTTACACCGGCATAGACATATGCACCGGTATGTAAACAAACCTCGGAGATAAGGTGATAACGCACCCTTGATGACAGCTACAGACAGGCAGACTTGTTGGGTTGATGATGTTAGACATTGGCCTCCAGTCACAGATGAAGGTACAAACGATCTTACAGATTATTTTTGAAAATAGCTTGGCAAGCTAGCTAGGCTACCGTTTGCTACCGAGGAAACTAAAAAAAAGATCTGTCCATTTGGCAACAATAAATAAATAAATGAAATCAAATAAACAATTTCATGTTTTTCATTTGTGTCCATTATTTATCTAATTTTTACATTGCAACGGGCATGGGTAAGGTAAGTTAACGTTACAGCTAGAAAGTATACATAATCGACCAACTACTGTTTTTAAACCATGGAAAGAGGTCAATATAACAGCAGGAGAACAATTATGTCACATAACGTTATATTTAGCTCAGAAAAGCTATTTAATGACCATAGCATGTTAATTGAATAGAAAAAATAACAAGAGAGGAGATTTTGCTGATCACTATATCACACATTTATTATATTTTTTTTACTTATGTCATTAAATAATTGTTATTATACGCGAATGTCCGCGTCTTGTACTCGCCCAGGAAATCTGTGTAAACCGTACGGCACCAGACAGGGGCAGTCGACCCGGGGTATTCACAATGTTTTCTCTTCAAAATTGAAATTTTACTGCCACCATTGAAACAATTTATAACGGAAACTGTTTACCCACTCGACATTATACAAGGGATAACGTTGTAGCGTTATTGACAGTCGTAAATCGCGAGCTGTTTATTCCAGTGGACGCAAGTTGCAACTAAAACAATAGAAGGCAATGGCGCAACGCTACCCAGCAACAGCTCAGTAATGGCGCCCCGCTTACTTCCGGTAGTTTCGCCGGATTCGTCTATATTGTTGAAAAAGAAAGTGAAAGCATGACGCACGCTCTCTGTTTTACCGGGAAATGAGAGCAGTGTCTTTTAAAATCATTCAAACGTTAGCCTATTTTTTTCATATATTTATTACATATTAATGCATCTAATTCACCCGCAATCAATAGGAATATTATTTGGTATTACTTAGATCCATCACTAACGTGCAGATGTGAATTTATAGCTTTTTTTCTTTTCATCCTGATGTAAACAGCGGGCTGTTTAGCTAACGTTACATCTGGCCACTTCACGTGTTTCTGTGATCTGATTGCGAAAAGACCAGTATAAGCTAAATGCCCTCCGAAACGCATTGGAGACGGATATTTAAATCCGATCGCTCAAACCACTTCATGAGGAGGTCTGGGCCGCTTTACAGACGAAACTGGACTCGTGTAAAGGCATCTGGTTGTTGAAACCGCATATGTAAATTGGACTTCTCCCAAAAATGCTGAAATAAAACGTGTGAGAGCAGCCTGTGCTATTATATTCATGACGAAGCTATAACACGCACCGCAGCTGAGCATCTATTCATAAAGCCACGTGCAAACTATCGTAAATCAAAGTGAAAGTAAGTCACAGACGCTTATCGCACAATCATCTTCGTTAAAAGTACAGAAACAAAATGATCTTACCAGTGCTGTCTCTCTTATTGCGGTCTTTGATTGTGAAATTAGCTGATGATCAATAAAATGCAGCTCATTACTGTTGCTTTCGATGACAAACTCCGTTAAATCTGCATATAGCGCGTTGTTTGAAGATCGGATGTGAAAACATATTTATGTGACCAGTGTAATGGAATCGTTTTGATAAATCAGGTCAGTGAAGTGTCGAGGTGTAAACGGCCCCATTATGAGCTGTCAGCATCTGTATAATTTTTTGTTAATTAATTGCAAATTGTGGCATGTTGCAAATCTGTCACATCTCTTGTGTTTTTATGAATGACGTCAGCGACTAGTCGACGTCGACTCGACTTTGATGTCATAACAGTCGACTTCAAAAAATCTGAATTCGTTCAACCCCTAGTGGAAACCCATTATAACCATAAAATTTCTTCAATACTGTTATAAATATTATTTATAGAGCATGAAATCTCACCTTGTTCAGCTTAAACTGCCCATCTCTGGTGTCTTCCTTTGGGAATTTATTCTCCCAGTTTCCCTTGAAGTAGATGGCGTTCACCAAAACCAGTTTGGTCATCTCATCGATGGATCCCTGTGGCAACAAGTCCTTGATCTTCTCTAAAATACAAATGGACATTGTTCACTTTGAACAGTGATTTGAACTGGTTGGTTTGATATTTTTACCATAAAACTCAAGAACGCATGAAGCCAAACATGGCCCATGAAAAGACAATTTTGCTCAACCTAAAGTGCTGAAAAAACATTTAAAAAAAACAAACAAACTAGAATGCTTCAAATGTCAGAATAAGATTCAAATTGAGAATAAGCTTATGCTGAATTTCACCTTGTGTTTTTTTCTCCACCCATTTGTTGATGTTGACGCGAGCCGCCTCGGATTGGCTAATGAAGTCCACCTTCTCCAGTCCGGCTTCATAGTAGCTTTTTGCGTCATTGAGGAATTCCTGTAACACATCAAACCGATTGAGGTGCAAATGATATTAGAGTTGAGAACATTTCCAGATCCGAGTAATAAACCGAGTCTTACCTCAACAAACTGGTAGGATTGCTCTCCGTAGAGGCGGTTGGCAAGACTCAACGCATACGGGACTCCTGGTTTGTTCAGCTCACTCATAAACTTGTTGAAGCTGGAATGAATTTGGTCCTCAGGTTTTTCCTGTGGACATTTCTGTTTGCATCAACAATATCAGATTTAATCAGTTGAAGCAGACGAACCCAAAGGATACATGCATCTCTACAGTAAATACAGATGTTCATGCAACAGAACCTTGACAGAATGTTAGCTAAAGTTCCCTGTTAACTGGGTTAGTGTTTGATGGAAATATTCATACGAAACCTTGAGTTCAGCAGGTGTCGGAGGACTCTGGGTTTGCTGCATCATTGGTGGTTCTTTGTTAAAGCCCAGGACCTACACAACATTGTTATGGTAGAGTTAATAAAGATAACTTCAACATATCGTGAGTGCACTTCTCACATGCTCATTAGAAGAGTTTAACATGTTTAAAAGAAAACTTATAATGTCAAACACATTCTTTGTTGATTTTGGCCCTCGAACCTTTGATAATTGAGTGGAAAGAGTGATTCATTGCTGACACTTTACTGTTTATGCCAGGCTTGGAACTCAATTACTCAGATATCGAATACTACCCTACATTTAAAGAGTAGTATGCACAGTATTTCAAAAACAGGTGAAAAGTTCCCGGATGACCTTCCACGGTTCTGAAGAGCGCATTTGTTAGACACTTTTCTATCCCATGAGGCCACAGGAGAGGATTTATGTATGGTAGTAAAGCGATGCAACTGATTCTGGTAGGTCACATGACAGTAACAACATGGCGTAATATGTCTGGATTACAGTCATACAATGAAAACAATGCAGACCACTTTCTGGAAAAGCATGCACTCGTTGCCCAAAGGCTTGCATCACTTCCTGCTCCCTCTGTCTAACTCTACTTTTCCGTCACCCTCTTTTAAAAGTATATTGTGTGAGATCACCTTATTCATCTGATCCGCTGTGTTTCCTCTTGCACCGAGCGACACCATGGCCAGAGCCGAGGAGATGCTGACAGGAGAGAAGAACACATTTCCTGATGCGTTTTCTTTTCTGATCTTCTTGAACAGGTCGAGGCAGAACTGTGTGTTTGCTGCAGTCAAATGCTCCATTTTCACAAGCTAGAAGGTAAGAGAGAAAAAATATCAGCATGTGGAAATCTCAAACAGAGCATTGATCGGGTCAGTTGTCATTTACTATGTAAACAACATCACATGCTTGTCTAAGAAACAGTAAATCCATGCTTTTTCTCTCATGACAGCAGTTTTGTTAAAATAAAATAGTAGTAGAACAGTAGTTTTTCCATCATTTTCATCCTTACACACACCTTATGACCCCAACCGGTACTTTCCTGTTATCCGGAAATGGTATATGGTGGGGTCCGGATCGCCAAGTGCAACACATACAAGTCTAAACATGTGACAAACTGATAATCAGTATGCTACAGAATATCTGATTGGTATTATCCACACTCTCTTCTCTCGTGACTTGTGCTCTCTCTCTCACACACAAACTCTCCTCTCTTTCCCTCACACACACTCTCTCCTCTCTCTCTCTCTCTCTCACACACACACACACGACACGATTATGCCACACTTACCCCGCGATTGTCATACAGTAACGTTATTTTGAAAAAAACGCTGTCCGCAGATCAGTATTTGACGCGATTTGCCCCGTATTCTTGAGCAGAAAACGGTTGATTTCTCCGTCGCTTACCGAATCTCTGTTTTCTTCGGAGGAGTATGGCTGCTTATGGCTTCGCACAACCTACAGCCTCTCACAAGATAGAAAGAAAACAGAAAGGCAAAATAGTTTAGCGATTCGATATGTGTGCAGGTCAGGAGGCGGGACTCAGATCTATTAACCGTTTGTGTTATTGGTAATTTTTTTGAACGATGACAAAAGAAAAATAATTAACGTTACTGCAGTAGCAGCTAAATAGATAACCAAAATGTCTACTTAAGTAAGATAAAGTATTTGTACTTTGTAACTTGACACCTCTGGTAACCAAGTTCCACTTTACTAGCCGTTTACTAGCAGGACATTTTGGACATATCAGGAGAAGAACTATAGCCTAATACGCTGAGGGAAGAATTTATTCTATCTCAGATTGAGTCTGACATAGAACGGGCAGTGAACTTTAGGGTGGTCACTACTGCACTGGGAAAACTATTTAATTCAGTAGGTGGCGGTAATGCAACACTTTGGATGCCAACTGCCATAAAACCCCAAAGAAGAGGTCATAGAAGAAGTGAGGCCACTGCTGACAAACAGTGAGTTAATTTACATTTATGCATTTACTGACGCTTTTAAATGATATTCAAAGTAGTTTGAGTTTGACTTGAGCTACAGTTTATCTGTTAACTATTTTTGTGAAAAATATTCGATTTTTGAAGGCAGTTTTTTCTAGTTATGATGGATTGTTTGTCTTTGAAAGTGTCACACAACCACATGCAGTGAAGATTTTTCGATTTTGCTCATAAAATAAAACTTAACATTAGAATAACTTAAAGATAAAATAAAAAAAGTAGTAATAATACTGAAATCAAGTAATATTTAGTGATATTAAGATCAATGGAAGCATACCTTCCGTGCTATTTTGTGTGTGTTAGACTGAACAAAATTATAAACACAATACTGTTGTTTTTTCCCCCATTTTTCATGTGCTGAACTCAAAGATCTAAGACTTTTTCTATGTACACAAAAGGCCTATTTCTCTCAAATATTGGGTAACACTTTATTTTGATGGTCCCTTTTGAACATTCTGTTGACTATAAGTAACTTTGCAACTACATGTCTCATTAGAGTGTTAGTAGACTGTTTAATATCTGCCAACTCTTTATTTTGTTGGTCCTCCACCAGACTTTCTACTGACTTTAAGTGACTTTGCAAGTACATGTAAACTTATTCTAACTAAAACCCTACCAGTCAACTAAGTTAGTAGACATGTAGGTGTAACGTTACTTATAGTCAACAGAATGTGTTAAAGGGACCATAAAACTAAAGTGAAACCAAATATTGTTCGTAAATCTGTGTTAGTGAGCACTTCTCCTCTGCTGAGATAATCCATCCACCTCACAAGTGTGGCATATCAAGATGCTGATTAGTCAGCATGATCATTGCACAGGTGTGCCTTAAGCCCCGTTCACACCGCCAGCGACACGCAGCGACAAAGCGACAGGATCCCATTCATTTCAATGGAGCGCTGGCGACATCCGCGACAAGAGCGACAGTGACCGTTGGCGACAGAATGTGGGCGTGTCAAGCGACAAGAGACAAGCGACAAAAGTTGAGAATTTTCAATTTTATGCAAATGAGAAGCGATTTTCGCGAGCGACAACCAATAGGAAAGAAGACTTTCAGTGGAGCTCAGCTCACGTCACCGTCTCGAGTGCAGGGCGGGCAAGACAGAAAGAAAGAGTTTGAGGACGATTTCACTGTTTTATATGATTTGACTGTAACCACATACATGGATAATAAAATGATGCATGGAAAAGAAACTGTCGACAGTGAGTTTAATTCATACATTTAACGTTATAGTTCGAGTGTTGTAATTATATGATGCAGGTTAGCACTGCTGCAGTTCATTTTACAATTTCCCCTGCATTACGTTGACTATTAGGGACAAGAAAATTGATTATCTGTCAAATTCGAATGACGTTTTTATAATTTGTGACAGTATGAGTAAGTTTAATTTGTTCATTGATCGATCGTTTATCTAGTAAATGATTTAATCCACTGAACACATCTGTGGAGATATAAAAACACTCTCCCAACAGCATATGGTTTCTTTTTAGCCTTAAAAGTCATTTATTCCCAGTCAAATTAAAATTATATATCACTTGTGATGGTCTTTTGTATAGATATGGCCAGACGTGCAGTCTACCAATAACACAAGAGCGACAGCACTACGAACGCCCACAAGCGACATCACAGTACAGAGCCTAGCGACACACAGCGACAAAATTGCTGGCGGTGTGAACGGGGCTTTAGGCTGGCCACAATAAAAGACCACTATAAAATGTGCAGTTTTATCTCACAGCACAATGCCACAGATGTCGGAAATTTTGAGGGAGTGTTCAATGTATGCATTTCCCCCGATCTCTCTGCTCCCAGGCAGACTGATCTCATGAAGTAGCGTGTGTATGACACGCCAATTCGTATTTCCATTTTTGGCGTGCTATCAAGACGCATAATCGCTTTTCAGCGTGTTTATGAACGCCGTTGTCTTAACGTTATTACTGTATATAAATATATGACTTACCTCAACCCCGTCCCTAAACCTACCGTCACTGGGGTTAATGGCATTTATGACTATTCCCTTACCATCCTAGAAAAAAAAGATCTCTCCCCAGATGTAGATCTACATTTTACTCCGTTTTGCACGGACATTTGACTGCGTGTACAAACAGTCGGAATCACTCGGAGGTTAATGGCGTAGACATACACGCATACACGCGGATACACGCGGATAGCTCAAAATGTGTAGAGATAACACGCCACTTGACTCGAAAGTGGCGTGTATGTTTACGCAAAAGTCATGATGTCATGTTGTCACAGGAGTTTTGGAGAGGGCCCGTCACAAGGGGGTCTGTCTACTACTAGTAGCCCCATTGTGGCCAGAATATGGTTCTCAGACATATCCTATGGAGGGCCCTCTAGGAGTGATATCTCCATCAGGAATATTTCACCCTTGGCCGGAGTTATGGAAACTGTGGGTCTGGACCCTGAAGGGGGCACAGTACCGAGAGGCTGGCCTTTCAGCAGGAGTAGCCGAGACCATGATGAGCTCTAGAGCTCCCTCCACAAGAAAGTTGTATCACCTAAAATAGAGTTTTTCACTATTTGGTGTAGAGAGTGTGAGGTGGACCCAGTTAACTCCCCGGTGGCTTCAGTACAGGAGTTCCTCTATGATCGCTTCTCTGCTGATCTTACCCCCGTTCACACTCAGGGTGTACATGGCTGCCATTTCGGCTTTCCACACTATTCTGGGTGATGGCCCTTTGGGAAAACATCAGCTGGTCATATGTTCCTCCATGGGGCTAGGAGGATGAGATCTGCGACTCAGATGGGTTCTCGAAGGGTTGGGTTGAGGCCCCCTTCGAACCTCCTGAGTCGGCGGAGGCCAAGAACCTTTCCCTCAAGGTGTATTTTTTATTACCTATTACTTCTCTGTGGAGAGTAGGATCTCTTCAGAACCTTTCTATATCTTATGGGTGCCAAGTTTGCTCCAGTCGATATCTTGTGTCCCAGGCCGGGCTATGTGCCTAAAGTGCCATATAATGTTACTCGGCCTATGGTTCTACAGGCTTTTCATCCTCCACCTCACGGCAGATGAAGTAAGACTTAATTTGCTCTGCCCTGTCAGAGCTCTCAAGATTAATGTCCAGGGGTCTTCTTCATGGCAAAAGTCAGACCAGTTGCTGGTGTGCTTTGGGTCACCCAAGAAGGGCCTTCCCCCATCCAAACAGACCATCAGTAACATTCGTTCAGGTTATCTCTATGGCCTATAAGGTGCGCAGCTTGCCTTCATCTTTGGCTGTGAGGTCTCATTCAACCAGAGGCATGGCATCCTCTAGAATCCTCCTTTCAGGGGTCCCGATCCAAGAAGTGTGGGGTGCGGCAGGATGGGCCACCCCTCTGACTCTTATCAGACTCTATAGCCTGGACATTCCTTCCACGCCAGACAAACTAGTCCTCTCGTCCTAAGTGTGCCTGTGCACAGCTTCACAGTGAGACAGGCAGGGGTCCCTGTGGCATAGTGGGTACTCGTTCCACAAAGTGTCGTATCAACGCAGTGCGAGTTCCCTCGAAACGGAACGTCTCGGGTTACGACTTTAACCCTTGTTCCCTGAGAAAGGCACGAGAGACTTCCACTGCCTGGGAGTTATTTCTTTGCAAAAGCTAACTCTTTTGTGTGCCCTTTGTAGCTTCCGTGTCTGCCGTCACATGTTATGTCATGACGCAACGCCAATCAGGATTGGAATAGTTTCATTCATTACTCAGATGCGCTACGCTGGGGGCATCCCCGCGCAAAGTGTCATTTCAGGGCAGTGTCTCGTTCGCTTCTCAGGGAACAAGTGTTACAGTCGTAAACCGTTCTATATGTCAAGCAGAGAGGAACACGGACCTCTCTGATAATGACAATTAAACTCAAAACTATACATAAAATGCAGTTCAAAAATACTGTAAATGACAACATCAAGCCCCAATCTAAAGTATTCCCTACCTTCATTAAACTGCTAATGGTACGTTTTTTAGCAACTTTTAAACAGTAATATTATGAAACCGAATTCTTAAATGGTAAAAATATCAAATATAGCATTTTAGCCAATACATATTTTTGATTAAATTGTGTATATATTATAACATATACATGCTGATGTGACATTAATAAATCAAATCAAAAGGGTAGTTTAATTTCCTCTCCATGTTTTCACCCTCAACACTCTTTTCAGAAACCAGTTTTCTTTGAGTTTAATTAGCACCAGAGTTTGACCACAGTTCACTTGTCAGCAGTTTAAAATTAAAAATGACTTAAATCAGGTTTTATTGAAGAGCTGTAAAGATTTATTTCATTTATGTTGAATATACTGTTACAGTGAATGCATCCAAAACCTCAACCTAAATAAGATTCAGGACAACTGTAGTGCATTTACTCTCCGGGACTCATCATCCAGGAATGCTGTCAGCTGTGTAACCTTGTTAACTCCATCTATATAAGCCCGATTTATTCAGTCATTCATTGAAATTTTATACTATTAATTAAATAAGTCATCACCTAGTAAGATCATCACCTA